GTAACAGCTGTATTACAGTTGACAAGAAATTATTTTTTGGCCTTTTGCATTGATTCAAAAAATTATTCATACATTTAGTTGTTTTTTTTTTTTTTTTTTAATGATTTCCTTCTTTAATTTTATTTTGCAACTAAAATGTTTTTTATACAATAAATTAGTACGTTTCGTATAATTATTTCTTGAAAAATTATTACGTTTTACATGAAAATACAAAAATTGACATTTTTGAAAGACAAAAATTATTCATATACTTAAAAAACTACGAGAAAATTGCAATTCTTAATTTTTTTTTAAATTAATGCAATTTTGTATTGATTGAGGGAAGACGAACAGCCAGGCATAATCACCTCTGTCGCGTCTGTAAAGAAACAGAGATAGACAAAGTAGAGATAGATAGATGGATTGATAGATAGATAGAGAGAGAGAGAGAGAGAAAGAGAGAGAGAGAGAGAGAGAGAGAGAGAGAGAGAGAGAGGTAGTGAGAGAGGGAGTGAAAGTGATTGATTGATGGTTTTATTAAGATAGACCTTTCTTAAACTTATCATTAGCTATTTGGTTTACATTATACATTTATTTTTTTTAAATATTTTGTACGCAAATTCTGTACTTACTACGGTTTGTCATTTTTTGGCTACTGCGAGGTATTTGAAGTAATAAAAAGGCGATAAACCTCTACGGGTTATATTCCCACCGAGTAAGAAAGAAGAAGATTAATTGTTGGATTTACCAAGCTTTCGGCAACTTATAGTGCTATCATTTTAAATTGTCATTTTTGATTGAGATTGAAACTCCACATGGGAATTAAGTTTTCGGAGTCGAATTTTGGGAATTAGTCTTTTAAGACGTTCGAAGATTGTGTATAAAATGAAAGGAAGCTACGGTCTATAAGAGGTTGGCCCATAGGGGGATTTGTATAGTTTGAGTATTACATTTATCTAAAATAATATTTTCCACAAATTTAGGGACTTTTTGGTTCTCTAGAAAAATTAAGCCTTTTGTCCTGTTTTTTAGTACATCTAAAAGGTTTTGTCTGGCCGGTTTGCCTTTGAACGGGATTACCAATAGTTCGTTGTGTAAAATGTGTCCTAAAATATGAAACATGGCCTTCTGCTAGCTCATGTCCCCTAATTCTCGTATTTTTTTATTTGTCTAACCAATTCACACACTTGCCTCATCAAAGCTTTTCTTGGTCTTCCAGATTGTCCGACATTATTGCTAGAACTAGTCTTAAACTCATCCTAATCCTAACATACCTATATATGACCTACATACATATGTATGTCGAATAAGTTTATGATTTTAATCCTGTTTGGTAATAGCTTAAATCTTGCTGAAATAACGAGACAATTTTATCTTTTAATACTTAAACATAATTATGCTGATTTTCCACCGATCTTTCACAGATTCCAAATTAAAACAATCAACTGATAGTTAGTTCAACCATACTAAAAACTGTTTTTCCACTCACTCTATAAATTTATGAATAATTTTCTGTCGTACAAAAATATCAATTTTTATATTTTAATGTAACACCTAATAATTTTTCAACGAATAATTAATTACACGAAACGTATTGTTGGATAGTCTAGTATATAGTTCAAGGAATGTTTTACTTGCAAAAAGATCCAAGTGTACTAATATTTTTTTCTCATTTTTTAACTCATGCAACCTATAGTTGCGTGAGTTTTTTTAAAGTTGAGAGTAAAATAGATAATTTGAAAAGAGTTTTTCATCTGGGACATAAAATTTATTAGTAGGTAGATTAGTGTTTGGATATGCACTGGGATAACAGTAATCATCAGGAGATGTTTTATTATAGTTAAACATTCGTGTACTTGTTTTTTGCGTAACTTTTAGGCAAATCCTAGATGATTTTTTAAAAATTTATAATGAAACCAATTCAGTTTTCTTTGTATATGTCGTGATTTTTTTCTCACAACTAGCACAATTTTTCCAAGAATGTATCGATCTCAAAAAATCAAATCAATAAATATTTCTGAGTAGTTACCATCAAAGCTATGGAGACTAAAAATTCCCTAGTAATTCCCACTTGATTGTTAATTACAGACCCGTTTGCAAATCTTCTGTTTTCGCCAAGATGTTAGATTCCATTCTTGCTGAGGCCCTTAGCATGGCTTTTCGATCATATGTTAACATCAATCAGCATGGTTTCTTAAGGGTTAGATCCACCAGTACAAATTTATTTCATTATTATGATTTTATTGTTAATTCCCTTGAGAATGGAAATAGTGTTCACGCTGTATATACAGATTTATCTAAGGCCTTCGATAGAGTTGACATTGATATTCTCCTGTTTAAGTTGAAAATCCTTGGAGTTGGTGATCCTTTGTTATCCTTCATCGAATCATTTCTATGTGGTCGCTCTTTTTCTGTTCTCATTAATAACTCTGTATCGGATAGGATTTCTACATTTTCTGGCGTACCTCAGGGTTCTCACTCCGGGCCCATATTATTTCTTGTTTATTTCAATGATGTCTGTAATATATTCAAGGATTGTAAGTTTTCTTTATTGGCGGATGATTATAAAATTTTTTAATTCAGTGTCTTCTACTCACGACTGTGTTGGTTTACAGAGGGAACTGGACTGCTTCAATAATTGGTGTGAGTAGTATCGTCTTCTTTTGAATATTAACAAATGCAAGGTAATTAAACTTTCTAAAAATATCCGACCTGTGACTTTGATGTTTTGACTATTTCGTTGATGGGCAGAGATTGGAAAAGGTTGACACTACCTCCGACCTTGGTGTCGTTTTCAGCAGAAAGGGTGATTTCAGTGACCATATCAAACAGATTCGAAGTAAGGCTCTACGCAATCTTGGCTTTATTACTAGGTTTTCTAGAGATTTTAAAAACATCTTGGCAGTTAAAATATTATATCAATCCCTCGTTCGTAACCATCTGGAATATGCAAGTGTCGTGTGGTCCCCTTACTACGTTGGTGAGATTAGCGACTTGGAAAAAGTAAAAAGAAAGCAACCAGGATAATGGCCATCAGATTTGATCTTGCACACCTGAATTACTTGGAAAGACTGAACTGGCTTGGTCTTGATTCGCTTAGCTCCCGCCGTATTTTTGCCGATCTCATTTGGGGTTGGAAATTGTGGAATGGGGCCATTGATATCCTCAGCGACCACTTAGGAACCATAATTTGTTCTTTGTTCCACACTACAAAACAGAATATGGACTAAATTCACCCCTACCGAGGATAATGAGATTGCTGAATTATTATTCTAATGAAATAGATGTATTTCGCGATTCCTTGAATTCAGTTAAAGTTAAATTAAAATGTTTACTTGCCTTGAATCATTAAGCCTTGTGTTTTTGTTATTATTGCTTAATTGTTCATTTGTTCTTTTTGTTATTATGTGCCTTTTTTTGACTACTCCTCTTGTAGATTCTTTCTGTTGGAGTTATAATAAATAAATAAATAATAAATTGCCTGTGACTATATACTGACCTGTAACCCATACAGAACAGAACAGAATTTTATTTATAAATATATACATTATACATAGTATAAAATGGTGGAGTTTCTGTCTAGCGACACTTACCTCCAGCTAGTTAAAATATAACAAAATTTTTATTATTTACATTTTTTTTATCAAGGGGAAAAAATATTTGATTAAAAAGACCACCAGCTATTTTGGACAATTTATAAGATCGTTCTTTATTCTCCTGGGCATGTACTTGTCGTCCAAGTAATAGTTGCCTATTTGGCAACAGATTATACTGGTTTGCATTGTACTGGTACTGGCTTCGCATTGCTTAAAAAATCTAATAGTGGCATCTCTGATGTATTCCAGCACCAACAACAAGTTTGTAGCATTGTGCAGTTCGGATATGCGTGTATATCGGGCCGAGTCGGTCGCAAGCTCAGAAACTTATTCTGCACATCCTGCAGTCCTGCATGTCAGGCCCGAGGAGGGGCACCTTTACAGGAGCCATGATCACCGATACAAGGAGGTACACAATAGCACTATTTGATAGATGCAGTACTCGAGTCTTTCAACCCCGTCAACAAATCTAACCTAGGCAAATTTTGGAGGTGTCGAAGAAGCTTTCAACCATCGCCCTCCTGCGACAATTTATATACCGCTTTTAGATACGTCTGTAGCCAACTTTTTAATTATTTTTATCAGCTTCTTCTTAATTATATAATTACTCAATTAATTATACACAATTTTTTCGAAATGAAAAATTTGTATCACAGGCGGGATTCGAACCCACGACTTTCGGCTAAATACGCCGCTGCTCTACCACCTAAGCTACCGTGTCTTCAATCGCCCATGCCCTTTTGGAAACATCTATAGTCAAGCTACTTAGTTTCTGCCAAGAATATATCGATCTCAAAAACTCAAATCAATAAATAGATCTGAATAGTCACCATCAAGGCTATGGAGACTAATAAAAGCTCGTGGCCATATAGTAAGATGTCCATATTTGATGGATGCTGTGCAAGGCTTTCAACCTCGTCAACAAATCTAATCTAATCTAGTCATAATTTGGAATTGTCTAAAAGGATTTTCACCCTCATCCTCTTGCGTCAGTTTATGTACAGCTTTTGGAAACGGCTAATGTCAAGCTACTTAGTTTCTGCCAAGAATATATCGATGTCAAAAGCTCAATGAATGAGTAGTCAATATGAATATCTGAGTAGTCACCATCAAGGCTATCGAGACTAATAAATCCTTGTGACTATATAATGACCTGTGACCCATACTGGGAGGTGCACAATGGTACTATTTGATCAAAGCATTGCTCAAGGCTCTCAGCCTCGGTTTCCTGGGATATTTTATGGAAATGGCTAAAGTCAAGCCTGCGAATGTTAACCGCTGTATTTTTTAGTAAATAGAGAACGGAAAGGCCTCAAATCGAATAGGCTGGGCACAAATAACCAACCCATGGGACAACGAATCTTTGTCCTATTGGTCGTTGAAGAACTCCTCGGCGGCCGATTGTAATGAAAAAAAGGTATTTTCGTTTATCGGAATGAGAGCGTCCTTGTGACTGGAGTGGAACCGGACGGCGGGCGGAAACCGTGCGGCGGAACAACAGCGGCCGGAAGTCGTTCAAAGCCGGTGGGGGTCGCCAATTGCGTTGAAAAGTGAGCGAGTAGAGTTTGTGAGGCGGCGGACAAGACTGACCATTCCACGATTGGCGAAATTGGTCGTCGTTGGTTCTGACTCTGGCCCAACTCGGGATGATGAGAACGAGGATGAGGATGAGGGCGAGGCGACCCTCCTCATTTCAGCCGGACCGCGTCCTCTTTGCGCTCGCCGTTTTGGCCGGCGTCGAGGCTCTTCACACTCCCCCCCAAGAGCCCGTTGTAAAAATACAACAGGGCACGCTCAAAGGGGTTCGTCACTTTTAACAATAGATTGCACAATTGATACAAGATTCGCACGTTAATAAACAGCACTACACGTTTTCTTTTAATTTGCCACCTTTTCTTCAATTATCGTAGACCTTCTAGTTCTTATATATGAAGGGGTAATGTTGCTTGCAGGAATTGCCACCTATGGCTGATTAATTGCTCAGAACTGATAGATATAGAGAATGATTGGGAAAAAAAAGCTCTTCGATATCACAAGGCTGTCTCCAGAGACCACTCCTATTTACTCTGTTTATTTTTGTATAATTTACTAAGCATTTTGGACTTTGTTTTGGAAATGTTATTACAAGGAAAATAAAAATATAAAGAGAGAGAGAAGACAAAGAAAAGGAAAAAGATAAACAGAGAGAGTGAATGAGTGAGAGAATGAGGAGAAAACAGGCAGGCATAATTCTCGCCCTTCTGTGAAGAAGAATAGATAGATAGATAGATAGATAGATAGATAGATAGAGAGAGAGAGAGATTGATTGATTGATTGATTAATGATTTATTTATTCTCGCAAAATTTGGTTTACATAAACCACTCTTACATTTAACGAGATTTACACATATTCAGTACAATTCATTATTAGCACACACAGACACCTAGTTAATACCTTAAGTTATTAATAGTTATTAATTCTATATACATTATTAATAATATCATTGGCTTTTTTCTGTATTCTTAATTACATTTCCTTCACTAATTCATAAATACCCATTTTCTATCACAATTAAATATCACAATCGATCTTATTAATTATGTACAATCATTCAAATAAATTACATTATATCTAATAAATTAAATTATATTATGTTTTTATGTTTATAAACAGATACGTTAGTTAGTAATTGTCCAACAACCTTAGTCTATATCTATTTTTAAATTTACTGTGGCTTGACAAACATATATTTTCATTTAAATCATTATATAGTCTTATGGATTTCTGGAAAAATGAGTTATGATACAATTTTGTTTTACACAAAGGAATAACTATTTTTGAATCGGAATGCCTACTTTCATTTCTAAAAAAAATATATTTATTATACAGACTTTCAGGTACTTTTAATCTCAGAATATTAGACAACATGCTCAATATTTTGAAATCCTGCATTTGTTTGACTTTTAGTACAGATAAAATCTTGTACTTTTCATACACTCGATCATCAAATTTTAATTTTAGTATGTATCTCAAACACATATTTTGCGTAACTTGGAGATCTTTCATGTTTTTGCAATTCAGGTTCGACATTTCCTGTATGCCATAGTTTAAATAAGGAAAAATAAATACTTTTACAATACACTTTTTTATGTTTTGTGAGTAGTGATTAAATATTTTTTTTAGTCTGTACATTTTAGAATATATAATATTACAAATTTTTTTTACTTGCCGATTCCATGATAAGTTGCTTTCTACAATTAAACCTAATATTTTCGCGTTTTTGGCATAAGGGATTTTTTCATTATTAGCTCTTACTTCGGGCAATGAGTCATACTTAACCTTGGATAGTAGTCTTTGATTACCAAAGATTATAATTTTGCTCTTCCTTGGATTCAAGCAAAGACTATGGCTTGTACTCCAATTATCAATTCTTTTTAAATCTTCAATAATTTTTCCAAAACCATTCTCCAAGTCACCCAAACTAAAGCTCATGGATATATTAAGATCATCAGCGTACATCACATGCTTGGAATGAATTATACACTGTGATATGCTATTAACATAGACAACGAATAGCAAAGCAGACAGTTGATCCCTGTGGAATGCCATTATCATTCAAAGTCCAGTCAGACATTCTCCCACTATCCACCTTAACCCTTTGCAATCTTTTTGACCTTAACAACATTAAGGCTTTATCAGAAAAATTCATTGAATCAAGTATGGATAGTAGCACTTCTCTGTTTACTGAATCAAACGCCCTTGAGTAATCCAATGATATCAAAATGGTCAGCTTCCTGTCATCTATATTTTTTTTTATTTCGTCCACAACTTGGACCAATGCAGATTCTGTGCTGTGTCCTTTTCTATATGCGTGTTGATTACAATTTAGGATGCCGTTTTTCTCTATAAAGTCAACTAATTGTTCGAATATTAATTTGTCAAAGACTTTGCCTAATACTGATACAATATTTATAGGTCTGAATGATGAACAATCTTCAGGTGGAACAGTTTTTGGAACGGGAATTATGTACGATTTTTTCCATTTATCAGGGTAAAAACCCTCATCAATGCATCTGTTATATATGCTGCATAAGTACTTAGCAATTCTATTTTTTATGTTTTTGATAAGGAAATTCAAAATATTGTCTGGCCCAGCAGATTTCGATTTTATACTGTCTATTACTTTCACTATTTGACTCTCAGTAACGTGCTTAATCTGAAATGTTTCCGCTTTATTCTTGTTATCATTTTTATTTTTATTTTTATAAATATTGACTAGTGCTGGGTCAGGTCCTTGATTTTTACCCATGTTTGCGAAATATTTATTTAACTCATTTAAATCTACGCTGGGTTCCACAAAATCTTTAGTCTTCTTACCTATTCCATCATTATTCAAGATTTTCCAGAATTCTTTTTGCTCCTTCGCATTGTTAATCTGATTCTTAAAATATCTATATTTGGCATTATTGATTAAATTTTTAGTTTTATTTCTCAGTACTCTATATTCTATTTGATCTTTAAGGTTTTTATATTTTCTATATTTTTTATTTAACAAATCCCTTTTTGGCCATTATTGACCTAATCTCATCATTAAGCCAGGGTGCAGGATTTTTTGTTATTCTAACCGTTTTCAATGGCAAATATTTATCTGTTAGGTCGGAGTGCTGTACTTAGAAGTTCTACTATTTCATTCACATCATCTAAATTTAGAATATCATCTAGATTTAAGTCCACGAAACCATTTTGTAGTTCAATATTTTTAACATTCTTAAGATCTCTTATTGTTTTGTATATGGGTATTTTTGGGGGTGGTTTTATTTTGATGCAGCAAAAAATAATATCATGGAATGGGATACCAGGCACCTGACATTGACCATATGCATGAATGTCAGATGGATTTTTTGTTATTATTAAATGAAGAGAGAGAGAGAGAGAGAGAGAGAGAGAGAGAGAGAGAGAGAGAGAGAGAGAGAGAAGGAGAGTGAGAGAGAGATTATACTTGGAATAGAGATACTCTCTTGGAAAATACAGTGTTGTCTCCAGATCACAATGCTATTTGCATTGTTTGTTTTGTATAATCTACATTCTACCAAGTATTTTGGACGCAGTGAATTAAAATCATTATAATAACTGATGAGCCAGCATCTTTAAAAAAAAAGACATATCTAGATGACTACTGCGAATGAGTGTATGTGTGTGTGTGTGTGAGTAATGCTTTTTAAAAAGATTGAACTCCGCACTCACTCCACCAATCATCATTTCTAGAGAGAGAGTATACTTGGAATAAGCATACTCTCTTGGAGAATACAGTGATATCTCCAGAGCCCACTGCTGTTTGCACTGTTTGTTTTTGTATAAACTGCATTCTACCAAATATTTTGGAGGCAGTGTATTAAAATCATTATAATAAACTGATGAACCAGTACCTCTCCAAAAAAAGGACATATTTAGATGACTACTGCTAATGTGTGTGTGTGTGTGTGTGAGAGAGAGAGAGAGAGAAGAGATAGAGAGAGAGTGAAATTGTTGTGGGATTAGGTAGTGTTTTCTTTAGGGCCCGCTACCATTTGAAGATTTTTTTAAAATGTTACACTATGTGTTCTAAAGGGAAAATAAAAAAATGATAATTCTTTATGCTGATGATGTTCTTATTATGACAGATAACTTTGATACTAGGTATGGGACTGTACATCACATCAAGTAGTTGTGTGACCTATCTAGTCTTGTAGGACAGTTGATGAATTTAATAATATTGGCGAATCAAAACAAAATGTGTTGTGCTACACTGATATATTATGTATGATAAATACAACATTATGCTTGAACCAACCTATAATATGTTGATAATACAAGATATTCAGGATAAATAAAACCCTATTAAATTAGGCTTTTGTTTAACTTTTTTTTTTTTAATTTGCACCACTAAATGATTAAACTGTAGTTTGTGTAGCTTGAATTAATTTGTATACAAACCTAAGTTTTTTTATTAGAAAATTGGTTGTTTAATTAATTACATAAATTTTTAGGTGAAAATAGTGACTGAGAGTCGTATAAAGATATATGCTTTTTTGGGTGTTCCATATGCAGCCCCACCACTTGGGCCTTTACGATTTGCTGTATGTTTTTGGAGATAGTTTAAGTAATTTCCCAATAAATAAACTATTGCCCCTTTTCAGTCTCCTGAAAAACATGGAGGATGGTCAGAAAATGAGCCTTTTTCAGCAGATAACTTTGGACCTGCTTGTGTCCAACCTTTACATGAACTAGTACCAAATTTTGGAGTGAAGCCGATGCAGGATGAGGACTGTCTTACTTTAAATGTTTGGACATCTGAGGTAAGGAAATATCTCTATTAGTCATCAGCCATAAATAATATATTTAAATTTTTAGGCCGCCCTCACCTATAAAAATGCTCCAGTTGTTATATTTTTTGAAGGTGAGGGTTTTGTTACGGGATACTCAGGCCGGTTTCCTGGCGAGGATCTTGCCGCAGAGGGTATCGTCATCGTTTCGGCCAACTACAGGCTCAACGTTTTTGGATTCTTTTGCTTGGAAAATACAGAAGCAAGGGGTAACGTCGGGCTCCTCGACCAGTATCTTGCTCTTGTGTGGGTCCGCGAAAACATCGAGCAGTTCGGAGGAGATCCAAGGAGTATTACTCTCATGGGCCACTCTGCAGGAGCAACAAGTATCGCTTATCACCTAATATCACCAAGGACACAAGGTAAGGAACAAACCAAGGAAAAAACATGTATTATTCTATAATTATAATAACAACAATAGGTCATATGTGGGTGACTGTGTGTCAACCAGCAGTTCCTCAATGTGTCCCAAATAATTAAAATGTCATTCCTAGAGTGACAAGGAATGTCACCCAATATGAAAACTGTACTTGCACAGCTGTGACCCATCTGGGTCAACTCTTCTGATTTTTGGCAGATATAGAGGTCTTCTGTTGTAGAGTAGAGCTAACCTGAACACATTTTGGTTGGCAAAGAAGTTTTTATTTTGCAAAACCTACCTTTTTATTGTATTTTCCAGTTAAATTCAAATTATACTTCAGTTATTGTGGTCTTGCCACTAAACTAAGCTGATTTTGCTGCACTTTCAACCTGAAATTATGAGATTTTCTCTTGAAGCCTGGGTAATGAACCCAGTTTTTTTATAAACATTTTGGTCTGCCTATCCTTGCTGTTGTCATCTTTCGTATCCTTTTGGTTTTTAACAATAATCGAGAACCTGGTAAATGTCTGACAAACCAAAACAGAAAGGATAGTTGGATCAAAGTATTAGAAAAAAACCAACCTACACTTTAACTCTTGGCCAGCTTTTTCAAGACTTTTAAGTTTGTGGGCCTGTGCATTTATTTCTTAGTAAACTTTTAAAGCATTTGAAAGCTTGGGCTTCATTAAAAGGCTGACGGTAGTTTTTAAAAATGTATTTACCATAAAAATCCTTTTCCAATCATTTGTTGCCATTTGGAATATGCAAGTATTACTTGGTCACCTGGATCAAAAAGTGGATTGCTCGCTTTTTGTGAATAATGTTTCTACTCACAGATTTTTCAAAATGTGTAAGTAGAACTATCATTAACAAAAAGTGAATCCACATACTCACCCCATCTTCATCAACTCTATGTGGATTGCTCATGATTAAGAAGGTACAAAGGAGGGTATCTAAATATTTGCTGTTTATGACAATATACTTGTCATCAGTGAGCTCCTTTATATAGAAAAGCTGAATTCGGTCAGACTGTACTCTTCGGAAGACAGAATTTTGACTTTGACCTTGTTCTTACGGAAGATACTTAACAATAGGATAACAAATCCTGTATTGGTATTAGGGACCCACAGCGCCATCTCTGCTCCTGTTCTACATTCCCAACATAGGACAAATTATGGTCAGAATCTTGTCTTTCTCACTGTCTGACAGCCATCTGTCTTTGGCACATTAATCGATATGGAATTGCCACCCTTTCTCACTAAGCTTTTTTTAAAAGTTATCTATATACTGAATTTTAAGTTTTTATATACTGAATTTTTATGTATGCTTTTTTATACTTTTTCTTGTTTGTTCAGTTTTTCATTTGACCCATCTGTATCTTAGCTTAGCCGTATTTCTGTTCATCCAAACAGGTCTGCCCCGATTAGTTCAGGCTTGGGCTTCTTCACTGTACATATTATTTTACATAGTAATTTTTTTTAATAAAGTTTACGGAAAGTATTTACTAGTGTGAATTTATAATATGAGAGCACCAATGGTTGACTTAAATTAGCTTTATAGTTTATGTATTATATTTATGTAGGGTATTTTAAAAAATCATTGATTCTATCACCATAAGGCTCCATATAAAGAATTAAGTAGGAATGCCTCCTGATATTAAAATTGTGCTTGAACATAGCAGTGAGTCTTGAGGTTCGATCCTGATCCCTTCTAATATTTTGAAGAAATAGAATTTTTCTACTTTACACATTATTTGTAGATAATCATTTTTTAAAATTTCATTGAAAGTATTTATTAGTTTCTTATTAAATTCACTAGTTTCATGGTCCGCTTGACGAATTAATATCTTACATTAAGGTTTTCAGTTGAGATAAAAAAGTAAATGGCACGAGCAGGATTCGAAACCACGATCTTCGGCTTGATACGCCGCTGCTCTACCACTTGAGCTATCGTGTCCTTGAAAAATGGCAAAAAGGAGGGAAAATTCAAAAGGTGTGGTTGAGATGGGAAGTTAGTGTCCGAGTGGATCAAGGTCACGATAGCTCAAGTGGTAGAGCAGCGGCGTATCAAGCCGAAGATCGTGGGTTCGAATCCTGCTTGTGCCATTAACTTTTTTATCTCAACTGAAAACCTTAATTAATTGTAAAGTATTTATTAGTGTGAATATATGGTGGGAGAGGACCAATGGTTCATTTAGATTAGTTTTATAGTTTGTGTCTAGTTCGTTAAAAAAACATCACATACTCTTTCACCGTCTGCAGTAAATCTTTGGGTTCTTTTTCCAATTTTGGGAGGATACCGGGATGCTCAACTGTATATATTTTTTTTATGTTTTTATTTGAGAATAATTGGGGGGAAAAATTGTCAATAGTCTGGCCCTTTTGTCCGTTACACCAAACAGATAATTAAGTCCTCTTTTATAACAGAACTTACTTTACTTTTTATACTTTTTCATGTAATATACCTTGTGTTAAATGCTATTAGAGTTGGTCAATATAATATTGAGACCCTCAATTAGATTAGTCGTACAGTTTATATATCGAGTACCGAATTGATCGACCAGTTAGTTTTACAATGAAATTTTATATTTTTGACTGTATTTAAGAAGTGTGAGAGTTTGAGTGTGATGTTAGGTTAAAAACTGCATTGTAGGCTGAAAAGACTTAGTTGTTGAAAGCCCCAGAGCTTTGCTTCGGTGGGCAGAACAGACAAGACCGATCAAGATTTAAAATAAACATAATTTATTTAATACTGTGTCTTGTATTTAGGTCTATTCCATAAAGCAATATTGATGTCGGGGAATGTTTTTTCGCCCTGGTCTAAGTCGAACAACCCTTCGAACGCTTCAAAAGAGATAGCCAAAAGCCTTGGCTGTTTTTCTAAGAAAGTCCATTCGATGCTTAACTGCCTCCAGTCGAAGAGTGCTGAGGAGATATTGAAAGCTTACGAAATGCTTTACATGGTAATTATACAATTGTGGCATTGCCGTTTCATAATGTCTGAAATTTGACAATCCAGGGTGGCAATTGGACAGAACTCCCCCTTCCTGTCATTGATAGCTTCCTTCCTGAGACAGAACAGTACCTGCCGATGGCGCCGGACGAAGCTTATGCCAAGGGCAATTTCCTCAAAATCCCGGTCATGAGTGGTATAACTATGAACGACGGGATAGTGGCAATTTGTAAGTAGTAGTATTTAATTGTTAATTTAAGTTTTGTAAAACTATGATTTATATAATCATCGAAAATTCAGTAAAAAGCACAATTTGCATAGGTGTACACAAAACGCGCACACACACAAATTGTTTACTAATTTTGTTTTAAATTTTGCAGGGTTTGAAAGATTTGGTGTTTTTTTTTACCCAAAATTAAATTGAAAGTTCTAGAAGGATGCCTTTTTAAAGGAAATTTAACACTTTTTTTTTATTCCCCAAAAATCAATAGTTCAAGTTAGTACAAGTAGATTTATGATGAAAACCGTAGATAGTTGAAAAAAATATAAAACATTGAAAGGGTTGAGAATCAGACCATTTTTCAAACAAACTTTTTTGTTGTATTTGAGGTGTATAATTCGCTAGCAAAGTTTGTGACATGAGTAGGTCTGACACCCTGTATAATGTGTAGTGAGTGATTAATGACCGTTAATCGATAATTATTCAGAAATCGTGAGATGTGGTCTGGTGTGATGTAGGTTTCAGAAAACATTTTCTTTATCGTGCCAACGTTTCGATCTTTATTGACATCATCTTCAGGGTTCAAAGTGTTTGTCTTCTGTGCAATTGTGCCATTCTTGCGTGTCGTGTTGAGAGTCACAACACGACACGCAAAAATGGCACAATTACACAGAAGACAAACACTTTGAGCCCTGAAGATGATCTCAATAAAGATCGAAACGTTGGCACGAAAAAGAAAATGTTTTTCTGAAACCTACATCACACTAGACTGCATTTCACGATTTCTGAATAATTACCCTGTATAATGTTTATGTAATTAATACATAATTTATTTTGTTTCATTTTTCTTCTAATAAAGCTATTTTGAACTCTGTCCTATTGAAAAGTGCCTGAACAGATTTTTCCATTTCCATCCAAAAAAATTGCAAGAATATATATATTTTTTATACAGACAAAAAATATGTACATTGGTAATTTTTGTATTGTGTTACTTTCATGTTGCCATAATATTTGATGTGATTTTATGTTTATTTATAAATAAAACAATTAAAGACATTTTATTTGGACAAATGATTATTTCAGCCCAGTGGACAGACTTGTTTAAGCAAGACTTCTTCCAGCTTAAGCATCTATTCTTGTCTAGCATAATCCCGTCTGTGATACAAAAGTATAATCTGTCCGATTTGAACAACTTTCAACAGTTACAAACCATATTGCAATGGTACTACCTGGATCTGGTCAAAGATGGGGACACGACGTCTTTGATATCAAAGCTTATTGACGTGAGTAGAACACGCAAAGCATTTATAAAACTATATGAAAAATCCTTTTAGTTTTTTACAGATTCACAATTCACAGCTCCACACAGAAAACAGCTATCTTTCCTGTCAAATACGACTATAAATCCGCTGAGTACTGTATATGCTTACCAGTTTGAACAAGAAGAGAACCATCTTTATCACCATCTCAACATTTCTGGTAATAACTTTTTTCGTTTTAAACTATGACAATATTTTATGACAATGAAAATACTAGGAAGGTTTTGTGAAGCACGCAGTTTTTGACTTATTATGCTTTTCAAAGCTTAGTTCAGTTCAACTAAATCCATTTTTTTTAGAGAAGTAGTAGGTCATTGACTGATACTGCTTCAATTATTTTTCCTGAGTCCTCACAGTACCCTATGTTGTCATCATTGATCAGGTGTTTCACGTTGGAAGATAATATGAGGTATACTTTCCGAATGAGTTTCATATTTTGAACTTGCACCCTTCCTGGACCCTTCACTGGTTTTGGAGCCACCTATAATTGTATTTTATTTTTTTATTTATTTAGTCTGTTAAAAAATTGGTATGATGTTGCAAACAATGTTTCCTTGGTTTTTTTAGTCAGTTACCATTTCCAGGAATCGTTGTCTCATTTTATTTGTTATTGTACTAGCCCAAAATGTTTAGTCCCCATCCAATTTTGTTTGTTTCTGGAGTCTGAGCTTTACCTAGCTTCCTTTTGTGTATTTCAACAGAGAATCATTGTATATGTTTCCAATGAAGGTAGGTGTAATAGGTAGATGCGTTTCAGTTTTCCAGTCTGAAATCATAGCAATTGAACACTGCGCAGAAATAAAATAAGAACACATTTCAGGAAGATGGCCATTTTCTCTGACAGGCCACTCCTTATGTGAGCTAAAAGCAAAAAGCTTTGGAATTGTATGGAATCCCTGGTAGAAATCAGTGACACCAATGCCCTGTCCTGGTGGTCCCTGGGCATTCAGTACATAGAGGCAATGAAAAAGTGGACATGACCAAAAAAGGAGCTAATATGAATTATCTATGTCCTGAGCCCTGTTGTGGCCTAGCATCTGAAATGGACCCTTAATGAGTCCAAAACTTGGTGGAGCATCCAGGCATATGAAGTGATTCATAGAAGGGCCATCCACAAGACTTACCAAGCAGTTACTGGAAGGTAACCAGAATTCTGGTTGAACTAACTGGGCACAATAAGAAAGCACATGCATCGGACAGTAGTACTGACAGAAAAAATACTGGCAGGAAAAAGAGAACACAGAAGGGTTGTATGTGTAGATTCTTGCAACTAGGGGAGGAAAAGCCTTAAGTAAGATCCTACACCAGGCAGCCACATGAAGCTGGCCATGAGTTATAAAAAATAAAGCTCAATAGATATACTCAGGTCGAGGTGTGGAAGGCCTGGTAGCAGCCTCATTTATCCCCTTGTATATTTCACTGAAGTATGTATGTTGTCAGTGGAGGTAGGTGTACTGTTTATAAAGTGATGGGGTGTTGTCATTGCTCCTGAGTTGCATTTATTTGCTAATCTTTGCACTCTGCCAAATTTTTGAGAAGCTTGTTTTTATGCAAACATAAACCCAAGACGGCCAACTTTGTTATGTTCAATATCTCTGAAGCATATCTTTTCTAGGTTTTGATCTTTCTTTTTATTATCACAAGGTTTCAAATATGCTATTATTTGACACATATGTATTTATAAAGTTGATTTTATGCTGCTTAGGTTCAGGTCATGGTGAGGAGTTGCTTTTCCTCTTTGGCCCACCTCTCTTGAAAAAGGTAGGACGGATCCGGCTCACTTCGTCTGAAGAACGACTCAGCACTGTGATGAGACGGTTCTGGGTTGAATTTATCAGGAAAGGGTAAAACATGATTAAACAAGAGACACACATCTTTAGATTCAGTGTACATTATTGTCTTATTCTAGAAGTTTAAGCTTGAGCCCGTACGGTTACGGTATACCTTGGAGGCGCTATGTGTGGAATGAGGACAACTATGTGATTTTCCGGTCAGATAATAGCCTTCCGTTAACTCAAACAGTTATGCGTCTGCCTAGTATGTCTCTCGCCAAGGATGCCATGAGCAAATATACCATACGCCTCTGGAACGATCTTCTCCCCGACCTCCATGATCTCCACAACCAGCAGAATAGCATAATTCAGAGCCAGAGGGCAAGGGATACACAATTAACAAAAGGTAAATTAAAACAAAAAAATTTATAAAATTAAAGAAAACGTGCATATTTCCTCATTCCGTCTTGTTTTAGACTTGCCGTATCGAAGTGCGATGTATACACTCATTTGTTTTGTTATCGTCCTACTCGTCCTTCTCATCGTGTGTGTCGTCCTGCTCAAGAAACATGTGACAGAACGGGAACGCGATATGTTCTGACAAAACGAAGGCAGGAGCAGCCCAGAGGACAACCTTCCACCAATCAGTGTCCTTAATCTACCCTCACACAGTTGGATGTACAACCTGACGTCTAACAAGTTCTAGAAATAAGCAACTAGAGCTATAGCTGTTCCTGCCGGAGAATGCCTACCAACAATGACTTTTTACTCCTTTTCACTACAAGAAATTTTGTTACCATTTATTTTTGTTAATCGTAATTTCTAAATCACTGTCATTTTATATAATATAAACGGAGAGAGAAAATGAGAGTGTGTGTGTTTGTGGTGCACATCTTAGGTTTCAAAAAATAGTAATGGTGCGACAACCACAATTCAATATAGATGTAAAATTCATGTTAGAAAAAAATCTAGTTTTATTTAGTAATTTATTAGCTATTTTAAAACAACTTTGGATAAAGAATGACAAATCAAATAAAGCAATTGAATGTGTTATTTTAAAAAAGACCTTACATTTCACAAGTTTTGGGAAACATTAAAAACTTATTAAATTCACTAATTTCGTGGTCCGCTTGACCAATTAATATATTACAATTAATTAAGGTTTTTAGTTGAGTTAAAAAAGTCAATGGCACAAACGGGATTCGAACCCACGACCTTCAGCTTGATACACTGCTACTATACCACTTGAGCTATCGTGACTTCAATCCACTCGGGCACCAATTTTGAAAAATGGCAAAAAGGAAGGAAAATTCAAAAGGTGAGGTTGAGATGGGAAGTTGGTGTCTGAGTGGATCGAGGTCACGATAGCTCAAGTGGTAGAGCAGCGGCGTATCTAGCCGAAGGTCGTGGGTTCGAATCCCGCTCGTGCCATTACTTTTTTATCTCAACTAAAAACCTTAATTAATTGAATGACTTTCTAGGAATATTTAGTTCCCCTTCATCAGCAATTAGAGATTATTTTTAAAAATTTTGATGTCTTCAACCGTAATAATTTTATGAGTTTTTCTTTGTAGAGTGGACAAGATCTATCAACCGTCCTTATAAGTATCCTACAATTAGTTATGGCACGACATTTAAATTTAAGTTTTTTTGTTTTTTTTCAAAGATTGTTTAACATTTTATGACAGTTCTAATTCAAAGAAATAATTTCTCATTTATACAATTAGTTTATTATAATGTGCTATAATTTTAATCTAACTTCCCATCTCAACCCACCTTTTGAATTTTCCCTCCTTTTTGCCATTTTTAAAAACTTAGTTTCTAAGTGCTTCAATTCTTCTTCTTGTTCTTTAAAAAATTAATAGTTTTTGTGTTGGTTTGTACTCATATTGATTTGATGGTGCAAGTCGGTGAACTCATGTTGAACCGGCAGTGTGTTCGTCTATACTCCCAAGTGTTGATATTGCTCAAACGTGTTTTGGCTTCACACTATCATCAGTGAGGAACTCATTGGATCATTTATTCTTGTCCCAATGAGCTAACTTGCTTTTCACTAGTGTGACAGTTTATATTGTTGGGCAAACGACTAAAGCCGTTTGATTAATTTTTTTTTAAATGTTAAAAGTTCAAAAATAGCCAAAACACGTAAAAATTTACAAATAAATCTGTGATTCCAAAGGCTGTAATGCTTATGATAAAATTCTAAGTTTTATCAAATGAATCCATTACAGTTATCATAAACGTCAACACTTTTGTGCCAAAGATGCCACATGGCTTGGAATCGCCTGGTAATCCGAGGCAATAGGCAAACATCTTAATTTTGAAATAGTGAATTCGGCAAATCCCTCTCTTTGACAAAAAGCATTTTCTAACAATCGTTAAGTTTGACAGTATCAAACTTTAGTCAATCAACTTTTTCCGTGAGATAACCTAAGATAATAAGATTCTCATCATGATAGATTGTTTTTGAGTCGATCAACTAAGTTAAAAAGTTAAATTCACTAATTTCGTGGTCCGCTTGACCAATTAAAATTTTTTCAAAAGCTCTCCGTGGCCATTTCATTTGTCACCGAGAATCCAATCCGATTACACGACCATTTGAAAAATGGCAAAAAGGAGGGAAAATTCAAAGGTGGGGATGAGATGGGAGGTTGGTGTCCGAGTGGATCGAGGTAACGATAGCTCAAGTGGTAGAGCAGCGGCATATCAAGTTGAAGATCGTGGGTTCGAATCCCGCTCGTGCCATTGACTGCCATTGACGTTGCCATTTTTTATCTCAACTAAAAACCTTAATTAATTGTAATAAGTTAAAAAGTTAAATTGTGAAAACGCACCTTAAAATCAATTGTGAAAATCGAATATTTGCAGTTTCTGTCTTGATTCTTCTGAGGACAAATGTGTTTTCAGATCCACAGAGAAAAAAATCAACTGTTCGAACAAACGCCCTTTTTAAAATAACAATCAATTGGAATCCCCACTGTATGTAAAAATATGGAATTAATTAGTAAGAGCTAGACGATAATTTTAAAAATGCCTAATATCATTGTAGCTTGAATTATGTCCTTTACAAAAATTTGACATTTTACAGTAAAAAAATCAAATCATTGTAAAATTTATCTTTTACTGTTCGTTTCATCAGAATCTATATTTCCCTCCTACAGTCAACAGCTACATTTGGCGATTGGTTTTTTCCCTTGCTGTTTATACAATTACTCCACTTGATTAAAAACTGAAAATTCATGCTTTAACAATATCTAAATAATGCCAAGGGAAGGAACAGAAAAAATATTTCACTCAATTAATAATATAAACTTATATTTCACATTATTCAAAACATGTAACCTCATTAAATAGCATGAGCATTGTTAAATTAACACATTTTTAAATGGCACCAACAAAAAAATAATAAAAATATATATTTATATTCAAAAAACCAAGTATAAATAAATACATTTTAATACTGAAAATTCAATAACTTACAGGTCTTTATTAAATAAAAAGATACCCCTTTCTTAATATATAATAATAAAAATAAAAAGTGTCAAATATTTAAGTGTTTTTGTGAAGTCAAATAAATTCATAACGAGACTCTTTTTTTAGGAATGCGAAATGAATGTTTAACTCAGTACATGAACTATAAGCCTTTTATAAATCACAGCCCTTAGAATTATAATTCTTTGGCTTCTTTTATACTTATGGAAAGTTAAAAAAATATAAACCTTTAAAAACTTTTTGATAAAATATATTATATAAAAATGTTCACATTTCCGGTGTCCAATGAGTTTCTCTATAAATAAATAAAATAAGTTTAAGTAAATATTCTAAGGGATATTTTTTGAAATTTTACCACTTACAGATTTTAGGCGTAGCAAGCCCTTCCCTCCAGGACGAGCTGATGCGCGATGTCGATGTCTGTTTCGGATGAAGTGTCGATTATCTCGAGTGAGAGCGTAGAAAATGTGTTGGCCGGGTCTGTTTTGATACCTTTGATCACCGAAAAGAACTTCTTGTAATTTAGGAGATCTCGTATCCTGATGCAGTCGTCCCAATTCCAGTCTTTGTGTTTTGGGACAATCCCTGGGGGGGAAAATGACAGCTCAATTTGGCATCCAAATTATTTATAGGATCATCGAAAAATGAAAAAAAAAAAATTAAAATGGAGCACCACCTAGTCGAAACTTGTTGGGATTCAAGTTCAATCAGGAAGCAAATGTTTTAATATTATTATTATTTTATTTTTTAAATTATTATTTATAGCATGTCATCACATGCGCCAGTTTGAGAAAACCTGTCATGACATACTGACTTATGAGATTACCTTGTAATTTGGCGTTGAGTCCGACAAAAGGCAGTTTTTTAAACTGGTCTTCCAGTATTCGGAGTGCGTAGATGGGGAAAACATCCATGTTGCCGTAATCGAAGTACTTCACTGAGGCATGGTTGCTGTCTATAATTTGCACCACGTACGCTCTGGCAAAAATTAAAATTCAATAATTATTCAGAAATCTGAGATGCGGTTTGGTGACCAGAAATTCAATCTTAAAAAAAAAAAATATTGTCAAGAGAGATAAATACCTGTACCAAAACCCGTCGTCCTGCTTGCTCGGCACAACGCAAAGGTCACCGCTTTTCCATTGAAAATTCGTCTTCTTATACACTTCGTAGTATACCTTCATTTGGTCCATTAATAAGTTCAACTCCTGTAAATATTTTACAGGTTGAACCTGAAAAAAAAAAAAAATAAATAAATAAATAAATAAAAAACTGCATTAATCAAAAGTTTTGTGTATAAATTTAACAATATTGTTACCGTAAAATTAGTCGGATGGGCGCAATCAATCACGAGTATATCAAAATATCTTTCTCCCATCTTTGGAAGTGAAGGACGTTTCAAACCATACTTTTCTAAAAATAAAATATAAAATTGTGATAATGATGAATAAAAAAAAAGTGTAAATAAAAAAAAAAAGAACCTTCTTCCATTCGAATATCACTTTCTTCATCTTCAATGGACAACTTCTCCAACAGTGCAATGTAATTGTCACTGAAAAAAAAAAAAAAAAAAAAAAAATGAAAATGAAAATGAAAAAGTTAAAAGAGAAAAAATTACTTTGGTTTCAACTGGTCTTCAAAAACAATGGTTTGGTTGACAGAAATAAGGGCGTTTCCTGGATAGGATCTCTTGAAAAGTTCAACGTAAGGCAATTTGTCAACTCTTACTACTTTAGCAATAGCTTTTGAAAAGCTTGGAAGGAGTTCTTGTAGTAAACCAATCTTGTTCTTTAATATGCTCGGACTGACATCATTCAACCTTACTTTCAACGCCTGAAAATATTTCAACCTCTTGAAAACCGATTAAAATTATAGTACATTATAATAAACTAATTGTATAAATGAGAAATTATTTCTTTGAATTAGAACTGTCATAAAATGTTAGACAATCTTTGAAAAAAAAATTGTTAAATTTAAATGTCGTGCCAGAACTAATTGTAGGATACTTATAAGGACAGGTGATAGATCTTGTCCACTCTACAAAGAAAAACTCATAAAATTATTACGGTTGAAGCCATGAAAATTTTTAAAAATAATCTCTAAGTTCTAATGAAGGGGAACTAGATATTCCTTGAAAGTCATTCAATTAATTAAGGTTTTTAGTTTAGATAAAAAAGTAATGGCACGAGCGGGATTCGAACCCACGACCTTCAGCTTGATACGCTGCTACTATACCACATGAGTTATCATGACCTCGATCCACTCAGGCACCAATTTCCCATCTCAACCTCACCTTTTGAATTTTCCCTTCTTTTTGCCATTTTCAAAATTGGTGCCCGAGTGGATCGAAGTCATGATAACTCAAGTGGTATAGTAGTGGCGTATCAAGCTTAAGGTCGTGGGTTTGAATCCCGCTCGTGACACTGACTTTTTTATCTTAACTAAAAACCTTAACTACCTGAATGATATTAATTAGTCAAGCGGGCCATGAAAAATAGTGAATTTAATTCCTAGAAAGATTGACTAAGGAAGTACTTTTCTTCTTTCAAATTCACCTTACCTATGATTTTTTTAAAAATATATATATATACAAGAATAAATACACTCAAAGAATGAAAAACTGGTCACTTGTATTTATTTGTTTATCATCCATAATAACAGATATAAAGATTAATGTTAACTTAAAAGGTAAACACCACATTAATAACTTGTTTACCTTTGTAAAGTGTGACTAACCCTTTTACACTATTTATATTAAAAATAAAGAAAATCGGTTCAATTTCATCATTTCCAGAGCAAACTTTGGAGTGCGTTAATTCCCCCCCTCCCAAAAGGTACGTAGTACAAGTGTGAGCTCTCGCGTAGCCCAGTCTCTAGATGTCTAGCATCAACTTATCTACCAATCCTTATTTCCTTTATGGTCATAATTGACCATATTAATTATTCCAATTAATTATTCTTTTTATCTAAGGTTTTTGGTTGAGATGAAAAATTGTGTCACAAGCAGGACTCGAACCTAAGTCACGATAGCTCAAGTTAGAGCTGCAGCGTATTGTGCCGAAGGTCATGGGTCCGAATCCCACTTGTGACACCAATTTTTCATCTAAACCAAAAATGTGAGATAAAAAGAATAATTAATTGGAATTATCTAATAATGGAGAGGAACAAGTAGAAAGGCGATTTTTGTAAATCAGCATCTTGCATACTTAAACAATGTTAGGTTTGTGGCAATCATATGACCAGGACCATGTATGGAGAAGACATGAACGCTTTGCTTCATGTGCCATGCCTGAGTCATCTTTTCAAAGACAGTCAAATATGGTAAGGGATGGAATCAACTTCCATGCTTGAACCAACCTGGTTATCATACAGAATGGATCTTTAACTGTACTAAGGTACATTAAGGAAGTTCTGGAAACTCTGGTCTCCATTAGCTCCATTTATTGGGCACATGATAAAGAGATAAGTTAAGCCGGGAACACACTTACTCGATGCTATGCCATGCGACACTACCCGATGCAACCTGACGTAAGTCCAAAATCTATTTTTCCATAAGATTGTATTACCCCCATGCACATCTGCCCGATGCTATTCAACGCTACCCTACTCTACGCTCTGCGATCCCCACCGTCCAGATTTTTATCGGGTTGCATTGAGTAGTCGAAGACAAAAGAACCGGACACTCATATTTTTATTCAAACTACATGTATTATTGTCGTTATATTAATCAAAACATACTTATTTTAATATAAACCAAATTAACCGAGATAAAAATTCTTGTTTTTATTTTTAAAAAAAATTAATTTTAATGGTTTGGTAGAAAATTGATCAAAACACCAAAATACCATTTTTTGATATAATGAATTTAACTAACAATTTATTACACGGTTTTGCTCATAAAATTTAACAAACAATTTATTTCATAGTTTTGCTCACACAATTGCACCATTTTCGTCAAGTAGCATCAGAACAGGACACCCATATTTTTTGTAGTTTATTTCAAACTATGTATATGTAATTTTGTCATTATATTAATTACAACGTTCTAATTTTAATGTAAACCAAATTAAACGAGATCAAAAATTCATGAGTTTTTATAAAAATTATTTATGATGGTTAGGCAGAAAATTTATCAAAACAGCGGAATAACTTTATTTAAAACAATCAAATTTAACTAACAATTTATTACATGGTTTCGCTCAAAAAAATGCATTAAGAACAAAAGAGGCGCTGCGATTGTGATACTGATTTGTGAAAGAAGCTGAGTGACAGTACGTGGTGTGCGCTTGATGTCGGATAGATGTGCACACCCTACCAAAACGTGGCAAGGCATCGGGTCGCGTTGCGTAGGGTGTGTTCCCGGCTTTAGACATCCATCTATGTCCAACAACCGTTGAACAGTTTCAAACTGCTCTTGTTGAAAAATGGTATTTTGTTTCACAAGACACAATCTGATTGCTTACTTACTCAATGCCGTCCATGAGGCTAGACTACTCGTTATTAAGAGCAAAACCAGGCAATAATTTGTTAATTTTATTATTTTTATTTTATTGTATTTTATATTGAAATGAAAGTCTATCATTCTTTATTAACTGTTTTAAATTAAACTTAAATTTGATTATTTTACCTGAGGAGGGATATTCAAAAATATGTTGTTCAAATCAGGAACACAAAAGAGTTGTTGTATTTTCACTTGTTCTGTAATCCCAAGATCGATTAGATTGACTTCCACCTTAAAGAGGAATAAAAAAGAATATTATTTGAGATTAAAAAAATATACATTTTTTTAAAGTTATAATGTTGTTATACCTCATTTATGGAAATTATTTTGCTGATGAGAACCCTCTGTGCTCTCTCTCCTCTTACAAAATAAACTCTGGAGTTATTATTGAGCTGATCAATCGCTGTGATGTCGTTTACTTCTAGATCACCGTTGTCGATTATTTCCAATTTTTCTTGTAAACAATTGAACGTCTCTGAAGGGACGTTGACAAAAACATCTCCTTCGGAAGTGACACTGGCCACAATCAATTCAACAACTTGACTAACCTTAAAAAAAAAAAAAAAAAAAAAAAAAAAAAAAAATATATATTTAAAAAAGGCAGAAAAGTTCTACTGTATAACACAGTTTCAAAAATACTTCATGAAGCTGAGGTGCCGCAAAGCTTGAATTTATTTCGTTCTGCACCAGTTCGTTGATGTTTATATCAGTATCGCCTGAAGTATCGTTCAAGATAATTGAAATGGGATAGCGAGAAGTAACTACAGCGACATACGATTTCCCAATAATATCTTCTATTGTCGAATATTTGTAGGGAGGATCTTTAAACACATATTGTTCCAAATCAGCTAAATAAACCTCAATGGCCTAAAGAAAAAAAGAGAAACATGCATTCAGTGAAGTGATGTATATATTAAAATATAATGTAATCCCCTGAAATTGTTTATTTAGCAACATGATTGAGAATAACAATTTTTATAAAATGTATTTTTGTATAGTTAAGAGGAAATATTGTGTAATTATAAGAAGGGGGCGTCTGGCAGCAACGGTTTAGGCGTTGACATGACCTCAAAACATTTTCACACCCTCCGAACAGAAAGGAAGAGAAAAGGAAAAAATGAGATTTCACCAACAATTTTATAGACAATAAATACAAATATGTGAATAATATTAGTGAATAATACACAAGGGGACCACAGTGGCTGAGTGGTTTAAGTGTCTAACTTGTATTTTATTTGTTACTTGTCACACTCTGAGATTCGAATCCTGGCACGCATTTATCATAATATGAAATATCTATTTTGTGGCCTCTGTACTCATATATGGAAGGGAGAACAGATTCGACAAAAGTTAAGCCAGCCATATTTGCTGCTGATGATACTGACACAATTGAAGACCTGCTCGCACGATTCTCATCATATTCTCAATGACGCGAGTCGGTTACGTACGTCCGTTCATCAAGAACCTACGTGCTCAGGCAGAGCAGCAGATTAATGACACTTTGAGCTTAAGAGAGGTTAACGCAGCCGGCCAATTGATGAAGTCCATACAGCGATACCATTTTCGAAGGGTATCAAGCATGCTGACAACTTAATCCGTACAAGGACTCCCAGCGTCTTTTTAGGTTGGGCGGACACCTAGCTAATGCACCTATAGGCAAAAAATTCAAACACCCGATCCTGCGTTTGTCTGACTTTACCAAGCTGTTAGTGACCATCCCTAATCATCTTGATACGAAGATTCTGGGTCCCTTGTGCTCGAAGACTAGTTCGATCTAGCTTCCATCACTGTGTTCATTACCACTGCCTGAGAGTTGGACCCATCACGCCTCAGGGATTTACTCATCTCACGCTTCAAACTAAGAGCTTTTCTGAATGTAGGAGCAGATTTAGTCAGCCCCTTCCCAATCTGTAAATTTTTAAGAGGCAAAGCAGCCCTGTGAAAATTTACACCTCCATTTTGTTTGCCATGGAACCAAGGCTGGTACACATTGAGGCAGTGTCACAACTTTCATCTGCTGCCTTTCTCTCCTGCTTGGACCTTTTTGTCGATAGAAGAGGGATCCCAAGTAAAATTATGTCAGAAAACATGAGAAACTTTTTAAGAGCCAAGTGTCAACAGTCAAACACAGAGAACACGCACAAAATTGAACATTTGGTAAAGCGAGGTATAGTGTAGCTTCATCCCACCAACAGCCCCTCACTTTGGAGGATTATTATGCCATGAAATTGATGAAGTACCATCTCATGCGAATTCGCCAGCACCAACCGTTGGCATTCGAGTTGTCCACCATCACAAGCCGGATCAAAGCGATCTTGAATTCTGCTGCATCTGATGTCCTCCCTCCCATGATTACTATGTACTGACACCAGAATATTTTATAGGAGACGCCTTGGTGTCATTACCCCAACCAGACTGGTCTGGTCACGCTCATTGATTGATGACTCGGTGGCAATGTTTACAGAAGTGCACAGCGGATATCTGGAAGAAGTGGTGACTGGAGTATTTCACCATCTGCAAAAACGAGGGAACACCGATATCACAGACTTGGGAACACTTGTCATTTTAAGGCACACCCAGAGCGATCCGATATCTTGGCAGATTGGCCACATCATTGAGAAGTACCCAGGCAAAAATGGAACATTGAGATTGGTATGCATCAAAATGCCTATAGGGGTATACACGCAACTAGCGATCCGTCTATCTCCTCTGTTGCCTGAGCTCTGACCACTCCAGTGCCGCCTTCTTTTTCCCGCAGCCTTTTGTTTTTATTTCTGTTGTGCGCTTCGGGGACTTTCGAGTTGAAATTTCACCTGAAATTTGGTGGGTGGTGTGTTACACTTTGTACACTTTCAGGCCGAGCCACAGTTATTGGCCTGTTGACAACAACAGTATTAACTTGTTGATATCAGGACTGTTAACACAACTTGGGAGTTTTTTCTTGCTCTCAAGCCTTAGCCGAACCTACTGCCTGACCTGTCACTGCCACATCTTTACTGCTAAACACCTGCTGCCACGTCAATGTGTTACCTGATCTATACATTTCAATGGCCACTAAGAAGTATCCCAAAAAATGCATGTTGGTTCTATTTTTTGTGAATTTTGTGACGTCTGTTTTTAGTTGTCATTTTTATGAATAAGCCTATTAATTTATTGTCACCTTCTTCTACATTTATCCCCCCCAAATGCGGGGTAAAGATTTGGGTCCTAACTAGAGGTGCTGAATCCCAAAATACACCCTTATAAAGGTGATCCTTTATTACCTGCTAGCCCTGTTAGCTCGAGGGTGGGAAAAGGTCTATTAAAAGAGATTGTTAAGAAAGAGGCAGTTGATCCCAAGTCAGTAAGAATAAAATGCAATGCATGCGATGAGTTCAATCTCAGGCCTGCTGAAATTTATGTGGTATTTATGGTAATAACGTAGTAAATGAACGTATGTATCAACACTGGTCCCGATGTTTTCTTAACGGAGAGATATCTGGTGATACCAAAGACCAGCCTTGTTGTGGAAGGCCTAACGAACTTAAAAGCGATGAATTATTAGTGGCATTGTATGACAAAAACAAAGTAACTGTACCAAAGTTATGTTGAACCGGCACATAGGCACTACTGAGTCTGTCTTTTCTCGCGGGTTTTTTGTTTGAGTTATTCAAACGCGTTTCGGCATTCACCATCTTCAGTGAAAAATTGTCTGTCTTTTTGTCCGTGTAAGGTTTATGTAGTATTGCGTCCGTCGCTTGTTGCTAGGGGCATTGCATTAGGGGGTGTGGTCTTTGTGCTCATTGGTCGGTCTCGGTGGCGGTTATTTCCGTTGTCAGTTATTATTTGTGCATTGTTGGTTTTTTGTTTTTTCCTGGTGTTGGTTATGAGGTTTTGTTCTTCCGTTTTCGTTTTTTGTTATGAAGTGTTTTTAATGGTGTAAAGGTGGTGTGTGAATGTGAGTTTGTTTGTGCGTTTATAAGTTTTCCGTCTTTAAGTGTTATTTGTTTGTATATCTCAAGGTTCTCTAGTATGTTTAGTTTTCGTCCTTTTTGTGCATTGTGTATTAATGTCATGCTTGTTTCTATTGTGTTTGGTTCGTGGTTGTAGTGTAATTACGCCACACACTTAATACAATAAAAAAAAACAATGCACAAATAATAACTGACAACGGAAATAACCGCCACCGAGACCGACCAATGAGCACGAAGACCACGCCCCCTAACACTACGCCCCCAGCAACAAACGACAGATGCGATACTATATAAACCTTACTCAGACAAAATGACTGACAGTTTTTCACTGAAGAGGGCGTAATGCTGAAACGCGTTTGAATAACTCAAACAAAAAACCCGCACGTGAAGACAGACCCAGTCGCGTCGTCATGGCTGCCAAGGAAGCTGATAGGCAATTCATTTTCAAATTGATTGACGTTTATCGTGGCCTTCCAGCTTTGTGGGATGTGAAGTGTAAAGATTATACTAATCGTGCGAAGAAGGGGGAGCAGTATGAAGTGTTGTTAGAAAAATACCGCGAAAAATATCCGGAGGCTGATAAACAAGAAGTAAGACTAGTTGACTTGCAGGAATAGCATCACGCATGATAGTGTCATATTTCTCAATTTGAGGAGTAACCAAAGCGAGCAGTTCATCTAATATTTCGCCATTCATCCGTAAAAAGTTGCGAAAGTCATCTGTTCAGACACTCTCAGTTCATTAAGTAATTTTTCGTGGGTGTACTTTGCCCTATCAATTAGCCACTGTTTGGTCCATTTTCTGCCTTTTTGCGAGCTCTTCTTCTTTTTCACACTGGCACCCACAGCGATAATCACACAACACAAATCACTATCACTCAACATGACTTCACTATATGAAATTCTGGTTGGAACTAATTGCACAATATATTGCCTTGAAGGTTGTGCAATGTCTGTGCTCACGATTGTGCAATATATTGCACAACCATCAATATTGCCTGCATACGATACAATTTATTGCACAAATCGAAATATTGCGCAATAATATTGAGCAGTTAGGGCCTCCATCAAAATATTGTGCAACCCACATTGTGCAATAATATTGAGCGTGTATGGACCCCTTTACAGTGTGAGCACCGTGTCAAAGACTAAACCTTGCGGCCACTGATGCCCCCGTTTATCAGGTTTGATGAATTTTAATTTTTTTTATTGTTTTTGTTATAAGGGTGTTTCAAGTATGAGGTTATATGGACCCTCGGGGTGGTGGTGTTTTGGGAAAAAAAGTCCGTTTTACAAATGTCCAAGTATGTTGGTTCAAAATCAGGGCTACTTGATTCAAAACCCAAGACTTTTATATCATTGATTTGAGTCACCACATCCAACACCTTAACTGGAGCAACCGCTCATGCCCCTAATGTTTCTTTAATAATGAGTTTTTGAGTGTCATTGTTACATTGTATCTGATTGTCTTTGCCAAGCAAAAAATGTACATACAGCAGGTAGGTTCAATCGAACTATTTTTGAAACTACCTGATCATGATTTTGGATGTAAACATATATAAATGATTCTGAAATGATAGTACCTGTCCTGGTAGATTAAGATAGTCACTTTTAATAACATGAAGGGAAGATCTTGCAACAATTTCCGAGTCACCATGGTCTATGAATAAAACCCTGGGTCGGTCCTCACTTAGCATCTCCATAAGCATAACACGCGAGCAAGTCTCGGAGTCTATGTGTATGTAGTATCTAAAGAGAAATAAAAATGACTAAATAATCTGTTATGTATTATGTTAATATATTAGTATGTTAATAGATTGATAAGCACCTGCCGACTTCGAGTATGTTCGTAGGTGGAAGATGCCGGGTCATGTAGAACGCTTCCATCTCAGTCGCTAGGTTCTCATACTGCGCCTAAATTTATTTGAAATAAGAATTTTTTTTATGTTGATTTTTTTCACTTACTGAATACTCCGGTCCAATCAATCGAATCACAATTCGATTCATACTGCACACCCTGGTAACAAATACTTCCCAGATTTCTTCTTCGGGGAGAACTAATTGTGGTAAAAGTTGTACTTCTTGTTTTGGTTTCTGAAAATAAACGAACATTTTTAAAATCTAATCTGAACACCACTTAAAATGTTGGGTGTGTGCGTAAGTTTTCAGAAAAAAGTTAAACTTTCAAAATATAAATTTATTTTATTTTTGAGATTAGTCAGAAATCGTGAGATGCAGTCTCGAGTGATGTAGGTTTCAGAAAAAACTTTTTTTTTTAATGGCCTCGCATTTTTAGCATACAGCCAAAGTCCCGTGAGTAGTGTCCAAGATCCCGCCAGAATGGAACCAGACCAGGCCAGCCCAGGCCGAAGTGCACCTATTAAGTATAGACTTTTGACATTTGGGCAACACACACCACCCCGATTCGGATGCTTCAGAAAGATGCGGATAAAAACCACTTACATCCCCTGGTGGGGCCGTGGAAAAGTCCGCATCTTCCCCGCAGTCCGGGGCTCAACTTGCCCTGTGCACTTTCTTCAACCCCCCCCCATCAGCAAACTACCTGGCCAGCCCACTCGACTATCTTATTTAATTATATGTCCAACCCGGCGTTCTGTAGAAATTCATAAATTCCTCTATAAACTTTTCTGTTACCTGATGCCAACAGGCTATCAAAACAAAATGGCTTAATTACTTCTTTCAGCAGGAAGAGTCGGTCAAAAAGAGTTGCTCTAGTAGTTTCATGCTCTGTACAGGAAAAAACAGTTTTTGAGGGTCTCTGGTTCGTCACAGGTTGGGCAATTTGGCGACTGTCTGAGTCTGATCCTATACAAATGAGATAGCATGGTTCATCCTCAAGCGCGTTGAAACCGAAAAGAATTTTTTGCTTCCGTGTTCGTTCTTGAACCAAGAAACAGTGGTAGGACTATTAAATATTTATCGGTAGTTTTTCAGAGGTGTATTTAATCAAAGGCCGTGGGTTCGAATCCTGCTTGTGACACTGATTTTTTTATCAGCCAAAACCTCAATTAATTGAAAAGAATTTATTTGGTCAAGCGGACCACGAAATCTAATAAAATGTAGTAAGCAAAATGAATTATACTTCACTAAAGCTCTCCGTGGCCATTTCATTTGTCGTCGAGAATCCAATCCGATTACACGACATTTGAAAAATGGCAAAAAGGAGGGAAAATTCAAAAGGTGGGGATGAGATGGGAGGTTGGTGTCCGAGTGGATCGAGGTCACGATAGCTCAAGTGGTAGAGCAGCGGCGTATCAAGCAGAAGATCGTGGGTTCGAATCCCGCTTGTGCCATTGACTTTTTTATCTCAATTGAAAACCTTAATTAATTGTAATAAATGTTTAAGTTATATGGTGTTTTTAAAAGAAACTTTTTTAATATATCACTCTTTTAAAAAATATGAATGCACCAAAAAGCACTCTTTTCTAGATATACACTGAGAGGCAAAAAAATGGCCATCCTTAATATTTTTAATTATCTCTTAGACAATCCTCCATTGATCCGTCTTATAACATTTGTCTGATTTAAACGATTAGAAGTAAATAAAGCACAGATTAAATCTCTCACTTGTGATTTTTGTGAAAATAAAGTTTTGAATAAACAATCAGTTCTTGGTTGGTTTTAAGGTAAAGCTTCTTTCTAACGTTCCGTTGTCTTGATTTTTTTTAAGTTGTACAGTTTTTCAGTTTCAAATTTGTTTGAATGATGGTTCTAAGTGATTCGGCTAGAATCATAGCATTATTGGAAGATTGAAGAAGTCAAGCATATGGCTTAACATTCCCAGAACAACTGTCCGAAGTGATTTCTATCCCTCCTGCGCTATTGGAGTTTACTCAAGAAGGCACAGATCATGTAGCTCAGAGAGAGTTGTTGAAATTAAGCAACGACGGTTCGAATCCTGCTTGTGACACTGACTTTTTTATCTCAACCAAAACATTAATTAATTGAAAAGAATTTATTAATTTTATTGTTGTGTCACATCTCAGAGAGAGTTGTTGAAATTAAGCAACGACGGTTCGAATCCTGCTTGTGACACTGACTTTTTTATCTCAACCAAAACCTTAATTAATTGAAAAGAATTTATCAATTTTATTGTTTGCGTAAATATAAAAATTTGTTTCAGTACCTAATAAATGTTTTTGTAAAATACCTGTATGTCCTTATTCTTCACTAACATCTAACTATTCCTTACAATAAGTAATACCGACAAAGAAAAGTCCCGTTGAAAAGGATTAATTTTTCAAGAAAAGCTATAAAAATTGCAAATATGTATGTCAAATAAAGTAGGTAGAGACAGCCGGATGAATGGGTCAAAAAGAAGAGTCCGGCAAAGGTCAAAAACGGCCAAGTCGGCTAGTGCTGAACGTGTTAACAGTAGGATGAAAACTGACATATAAACTTAGCATAGGGTCCTTTCTAGATGAGAATAAAAACATTGCACCGTGATTAAGATGATGCAAGTCATGAATAGTAAACAATAGAAAGCTTCATTTTATTGGAACCGATGAATAGTAAACAATAGAAAGCTTCAGCTTATTGGATGCAATGAATAGTAACCAATAGAAAGCTTGACAAAGTATGTAATAGAGTTTAAAAAAAAAATTACTGTAACTTTTCTAACATTATACTAGAAACTTTATATTGAGTAATAATAATAATAATAACAAGAATATGTAAAGCTTAAGCAATTTGGCATTCCTAGGTAATTTGTAACAAAAAAAAAAAAAAACTGCTATACTAATAGCTTGTCAAATTGAAAGAAAATGAAAATCAAAATGTATGCATCCCAGGGCTTTTTAGAAGTAAAAATGCAAAAGTCATTTGAAATACCTTTGATTCGTGGACTTTATCATAGACGATAAACTGGGCGTCGGACAATTTTGTAACTTCTAAGACACCGCTATTCTTCAGTATGTCGGCTAACGCGATCGGAAGAGATTCACCATACAGCGTTTCGTAGTCAGCTATTATTTGGAATGCCCATACGCCGTAATTACGTCCGCTCACAATCTAGATGAAGGACACAAATTAAAATCATCTCAACTAAAACAATGAAGTAAAATGTTTGATTTTGAGATTCCCTCCCAGTGTTTCCGATCATTTTGGTCTTCACTGTTTCAGTCTGTCAAGATGGATTTTAGCATCTTCTACTGGTAAATAGGGTAAAAGCACGGAGGGGCGGGGTAAAAATTATCTCCTGAAGATGGCAAAAAGCTTAAAATACATCTGACAGACTAAAATGATTGGAAACTAACAAACTACAAAACAAAATTATTTAATATTAAGTCAACAAATTGAACAAGATCTGTGTATGAAAGTTATAAAATTTCAATAATTGATTTGTACATGTAATTTTTGGGATTTTTAGGATAAATTTAAGATGATCATAAAAATGTTCATTCCTTACGTCCTGATTAATTAAACACAATTAAAATTAAAAATAAACACATACTTGTGCTATTCTGTCAATTATAATTCGGTGGTCTTGAGTCTCGGGGAGCTGAATGGCATTTTTTGTCAACAGGCTGTTATACGCCTTTGCGGCGACATACTCCAACGCCTCTTTCGTGTCGGAAAACTCATTCGGATAAGTTGAGTACTCGTAACACTCCCGCACCTTCAGAAAATTTCATGTAGTTCATACTCGATGATGTCGCGGTGAAAAGCTTACCAGTGATTCGCCAACTGGACAGCAGATAATACTTGTCCTGCAAATGACCTTGCTAGTACCTTCAACAGTCTTTCTGTTCAAAACGTAAAATTCTGGAGTAGGCCACGAGTTCTTATGTGCATAAGCAATGAGCCTGTTTACGTATGATTTGTCGTCGAAATTTGTCGGAACTGTGACCAGAGAAAACGACTGGCTGTACTTTGATGCCTGAAATGGGATAAAACAACTTTATTTTGTATTTTAATGTAAGGTTAAAATAAATTTCTTACATTTTGAGTATTCTTTTTGGCTTTGTGTGAAGGATAATTCATCTTTGTGGTATCTTTTTTCTTCTCTGCTGTCAACCTCTGTACATACATATAAAAAAATGTAATGAAACAAAATGCCTTTTGACGATTTTAACAATGTTTACATACTTGTTGAGCAGAGCTTCTAGTCTGGGTTTTAAAGGATTCAGAATCTAGATTAATTTGGACTTTTGGAGTTGGTAACGAGACCTCAACTTTCAAAGAACCTTTATTTACATCTAATTGAGTTTGACAGCCCAGATCATCTAATAACGGTGATTTACTTTCACTTTGAGGCCGGCAATCTATTTTTGCTTGGTTTGAGAAAATAAAAGGAGTGGACGACTTTCCATTGGTTTGTTTCTGTTGTGGTTTCACTAAAGTTGTTGAATTGCTATTATGATTGCTTTTTAAATTTGTAGGAAATTTCAGGGATGGTTTTCGATTCTGAATTTCTCTCCCAACACCTAATGTCATAAACAACTGCAATTGCAAAAACATTATAAAATTGTACTAAAGAAAGAATAAAGATTTAAAAAAAAAACCTTTGTATTTTGTGGTGGCAATGCTGCAAGTTGGATAAGGCTTTGCCTTGGTTTATGTACTAATTTTGGAGGAGGGCCCCTATACCGTGGTGGTTGCCACATAGAATTACTCCTTCTAACAGGTGGCTAAAAAAATAATTAAATAAATAAACAATAATAATAAACTGCGATGACATTTTGAGTATTAATCTTAAATTATATTAACCACTCTTTTTCTTGAAGATTTTTTTGACGATTTTTTCTGTCTCTCGACCAGTTTTGTTATGTGTTGGCTGTTTGCAGATGCGACAGCCTCAACGAACATTTCCCCATTTTTATGTCTGATCGAAATGTCAGGGAGAGACTCTAAAAAACTTTCCAAGCTTTTGAAGCCCAATTGTTTATAAGGGATATTTTCCCCGAGAAGCTGCTGATAATCACCTGTAAAAACATCTCTTATAAGCCGCCTAAAATATTAATTTACTTAATAATTATGTAAACATGTTTTAAAAATATCTAATAAATGTAATTTTTGACTTTGTTCAGATATGAGATGATGTATTGAATATTGAGGGAACTTTACAGTTTTACACTACCCTAATTTTTTCCCTTTTGATAAAGTTTGTAAATGAGTAAAGAAAATACACTTATTTCCATGAAATGCGTATGAAAGACAGACCCCATGAAGAAATTGCAGACATTTTTTCACCCATATCATCAATTCTGATTTTCATAAATGTTATAATGTCTAAAAATGTATATAGTATGTATGTATATATTTATGTATATAATGTAATATTTCAACTAACAGTTGCTTTTGTACCATTATTTGTTTGTATAGTTTGTACTTTGTCTGGGAACACTGTTCACTCCTGTGGGCCAACGTATTTACATTATGGGTCCAGCCTCGTCAGTAGGACACTGAGTGAGGTTGTGCTACACACCAAGTCAGCAAATGATTTTCGATGATCTTTTTTGGGTAGAACCCATCCAGCCTTCGACTCACACTTCGCTAATTTTTTCCCTTTTGATAAAGTTTGTAAACGAGTAAAAAAAAAAAAAAAATACATTTATTCCACATTAAATCAAAACTATTCATTTCTTTAATTCATTATTCAAATTACTTATTTTGTCGGGGCCTGGAATGTCACAATTTTTTGTTTTCAATTAAATTCCAGCAGGGTTCAGGAATCACCCACCCGGGTGTTGGCAGTCCTCGTCTTGTCTGGACCACCACCCAAGTTGGGCTGCAGGTGCTGTCCACAACTTTTCACCTCCCAACAAGCATTTTCTAAATCCATTCACCTCTCACTCACCCTTAAACACATTTATAACATTCACTTAGAGTAGTGGAGTTCTCAATGTTCCACCATCAATAACTGTTTCAGGCCCAAATACTTACTGGCATTCCTACATGCTCTCTATATGGAACCAAGGTGTAGGTGCAGATTTTTGCAACTAGGAGAGGAAAAGCCTCAAGTAAGATCCTACACCAAGAGCTGCTGGCAAGGCTATGGAGGTTGATTAACAATCTAAAGCAGGCACGTAAGCTATAAAAAATAGAGGAGCACAATATATCTACTCAGGTCAAGGTGCAGAAGGCCTTGTGGCCACTTCTTTTATCCCTATCCCTATGGAGCCAAGGAATGACACCTTCAATTAAATGAGATCGAATAATTTTTCTCTACATGCTGGACGCATACACGGGCTTTGGCCCAAAAGTAAATGCCCGTGTCAAGCTCGTATGGCTTATTCTTAATCATGTGAGGATGACCCTTTTTCCACGAGTCAGGTCCCTGAAGGCCACCTATAAGAAAAAAATTGAAACTATTGGGTTGTCCGGAAAATAATGCAGGATTTTAAGTTTTCATTAAAAAAAATCTATATAAAATATTCTGTTTACGTTTACAGGATTACTCATTTGTATGAATGTCAACACTTATTAATCCTCTTCCAAATGATATTGTTTGTTTACCTCTGTAGCATTCCGCTACTTGGAAATAATTCAGTCATCCTTATAATGTCAAAGCGAGAATTTCGTACGATTTTCTTTTACGAGTTTAAACTCGGCCGAAGCGGAGCCCAAACGGCTAGAAACATTAACCAAGTCTGGGGCGAGGGTTGTGTTAATGAGTGCACTGTGCAAAGGCGGTTTAAAAAATTTCGGGAGGGAGATTTCAGCCTTGAAGATGAAGAAGGTCGTGGAAGGCCTTCCTCTCTTAATGATGATGTTCTGCGATCAGTGGTGGAAGAAAACCCCAAAACAACTGTTCGAGAACTTGCAGAGCAACTCAAAGTCAGTAAAACGACCGTCGCTGACCACCTCAAGGCGATTGGAAAAGTGAAAAAACTCGAAAATTGGGTTCCACACTCATTAAACGATCGCCAAAAAAATCAGCGCTTTGATGTTTGTGCATCACTTCTTTGTCGAAACAAAAATGACCCATTTCTGGCCAGAATTGTTACATGTGACGAAAAGTGGATTCTCTACGATAACACTAGACGTTCTGGACAGTGGCTCGACAAAGGAGAAGCTCCAATACATTTTCCAAAGCCCCCAACTCATCAAAAAAAGGTAATGGTTACGGTATGGTGGGCTTCATTTGGTTTAATACACTACAGCTTCTTAAATCCTGGCGAAACCATCAATGCTGAATCATACTGTAACCAAATTAATACCATGCATCAGAAATTGGCAGTAATGAAGCCCTCTTTGGTCAATCGGAAAGGGCCCATTTTGTTGCATGACAACGCTCGACCACATGTGTCACGTGTAACGTCACAAAAATTATTGGAGCTTGGCTATGAAACTTTGCCTCACCCACCCTACTCTCCGGACCTCTCGCCTACTGACTACCATTTTTTAGACACCTGGACCACTACTTACAACACATAATATTCAAAAATCAAACGGAACTGGAAAATGCATTTATTGACTTTATCAATTCTAAAAATTCTGAATTCTACTCAGACGGAATTAATAAGTTACCAACACGTTGGGAGAAATGTATTGAGAGTATGGGAAATTATTTTGATTAAAGAACATTGCTTTAAAGTAACTAGTTTCTTTTTTATTGTTTAATACCAAAATCCTGCATTATTTTCCGGACAACCCAATAGTTGGAAAAGAAGTTTCATTCAAAATTTCCTTTATAACAAATTCTGGAAACACAAAAAAAAAAAATTATTATTTAAAATGCTTTGTACTATGTAAGCTTATAACCATCCGATACTCATGGCTCCAAGAGACGACATGAACAGGATGTTTGAATTTAACCAAAACTTCGGAATAAACCTGGGTACCAAAAAAGAATGGGAAAGAGAGGGAAACAACTCTTTTAAAAATGGCACCATCCTCTGGTACACAGATGGATATAGAACACAAGAAGGTACAGGGCAGGTGTATTCGGTCCTGGAACCAAATACTCAGAACCCATGGGAAAATACACCAGTATCTTCCGAGCTGAGATTCACGCAATTGAAAGATGTACCCAACTCAACCTAAGTAAAGGGTACAAAAACAACAACATAGCTATCATGCCAGATAGCCAAGCAGCCATCAAAGCACTAAGTTCAAGTATCATTAGTTCAAGGATGGTGCTGAACTGCAAAACCAAACTAAATATGTTAGGTATGCAGAATAAAGTCAGCCTCTGTTGGGTCCCAGGACATGGGAGTAGAAGGCAACGAGAAAGCAGACACCCTTGCAAGGAAAGGGGCTGCTACACCTGAACCCTTCTGTGGCATAGGAATCCACACTACTAACGAATATCTCAGACAGAAGGACAAAAATAAAATGAGACAACTTTGGAATTCACTCATTGGACACAGGCAATCCAAGAATCTCCTAACAAATTTCGGAGGAAAAGAAATTACAGAATGTGTCAAAGGAAGCAGGAATAGACACTGCAGATTAAATGGACACTTATAGAAAATTGGAACAATCCAAGATGGCACATGAAGATTCTGCAAAGAGGCAGAAGAGACCCCCAACACACCTACTAACAAACTGCGGTGCTACACTTGCCCGCAGGAGGAAGTGCTTTGGGATGTACAATGTGACCTTAAAAGAGATTCAACCACTGAAACCGGGCCTACCAATCAAGTTCCTTGATGAAATACAACTCACCGATGTGCTTTACGCAGAAAACGGGGGATACAATAGCTCTTAAAGGGTGCAGTATACTATACCCTGAAATTGCATCTACATCTACATGTAAGCTTATATAAATTATGATAAATGAAAATGAATTTGTACAGTCTTTGTGAACTAGTAATATTTCTTCAAATAATCTATGGATTATAGGAATCCCAGAGTACCTAGGCTATCAAATTTTTAATATCAATTGTACAAGGTGAATAAAAAAATAATTTAAATGTGTACATGAATGATAGATAAATATTCTTTTTGTTAAGATAGTGGTTCAGTTGATTTATTGCTTGAAAGAGAGTAAAACGTTCTACTTAGGACGAGGTGTAGAAGGCCCTTTGGAAAACTCTTGTACGACGAGTCACGGAGCAAGTAGTAAGATTAAGTACTCCATCAACCCATTCGAGCGAATGGTAGGTACGAAAGAATATAATTGGAAAATCATTGATATTGCTTAGTTTAAAAACACTAAGCACATTGTGGGCTGAAATGATCTCATTGACAACTCTGGATATTTAGTCGGACGACTCTGACTTGCGAGAATATCACCGAGCCAGGTGATTCTCACAGGTTGCCGTTAAAAGTCAAATCCCAAATCAAAGATTTTGTGATTGGCAGGGCATTAATTGAATTTAAAACTTTTGATAATTACAAAACGTTTTTAAAAAAAATTACTTTTTATCGATCAGTTCGATGAAGCAACAAGTATCTATGTGTATACTTACTATTCAGTCTTGAGCTTAGGATCCCTCCTTGGGCTGAAATGAGGCAAGCCCTGAGATTCGAGATGACACGATCTCTGAATTTCTCCTCTTCCGACATTTTCTGAAACTGTAAATTCAAGTCAAGACGAAAAAAAAAATCATCGGGTGTTTAAAGTAAACATTGAATAGGGTTAAAAGTAAGTTTTTTTCTGGTTTCTTTTAGATCTGATAAAACCTTTTTTACGACAAACAAAAGATCGGATGATCATAATATACTGTAAGAATGATGAAATAATTATTTTTCCATGATATTCACCTATTTGAACAGAATGACAACACTATCGAGTCCGACTCTCACTTTAAAATTGCTACCTCAGTAAAAAGTGGAAATTAGGGATTAAAGAAATTCGGTCAAAAGATTATCGATTTGAGTATCGATCGATGCCAGTTGAATTTAAAATTTTTGTTGTTCTGTTTTTTGAATTTGTTCTTATATAAAAATATTTCAAAGAAGAAAAAATAATAAAAATAAACAAGAAATAAAACCTTTTATGTGACAATACAAATTTTATTTATCATTTTCGCTAAGGAAAATACAGTTAATTTTAAAAAAGCCTATTGCCCAGTCTTTCATTTAGAAATTATGCATAAAAATACACATTTTAATCAAAAGAGAAATCGGAAATAACACAATAACACAGAAGACAAACACTTTGAGTGAGTAGAAATACTTTGATTGAATATAAAAAAAATATATTTTGCATTGTATAAATTCACTTTTCCACATCCAAAATGTAATTGTTATATGTAAACAATGTTTGTAAATCCCAGGCCCTGAAGATGATCTCAATAAAGATCGAAACGTTGGCACAATAAAGAAAATGTTTTTCCGAAACCTACATCACACCAGACCGTATCTCACAATTTCTAAATAAATATCTGAAATAACAGTTCATTTCATTTAGTATTATGTGTTGTAATTAGATATTTTTCAGAGCATTTGATTTGGTAAATCATTCTTTTATGGTTCCTAATCAAAAAATAATTATCCACTTTCATTCTTTAACATCATTCTTATTTTTAAAAAGTCAGACTAATTCGTCTTTTTAATTTTTTTCTTGCTTAAAATGTCAATGTGGGCTTTAAAAAAATAAATGCATTACTTATTTAAACATTTATTTGGACACTTTGGGAATTTACACCCACCATCAGCATATTTTTTTAAATATTAAATTTTCAATTATGTACATAATGGTTGTTGCTCGATTCATACAAGACAGGCCCAATTCTGAATCCGGATTATTAAGAAACCTGCTGATCAGGTGCATTTTATATTACGAATTAATTAAAATGTTTTAAAAAACGAATTTATGCATAAAAATAATGATAATTAACCCGATGCCAGTTGAAAATAAAATTTTTGTTGTTTTATTTTTTTAATTTCTTGTTATACAACAATATTTCAAAGAAGAAAAAATAATAATAAAAAACAAGAAACAAAACCCTTTCCATGATCAAATTTAAATTTTATTTATTGTTTTCACTAAGGAAGATACAGTTAATTTTAAAAAAAAATTGCCCAGTCTTACATTTACAATTATGCATAGAAATACATACATTTAATCAAAAGAGAAATCTGAAATAACAGTTTATTTTGTGTGATATAATTTTTCAAACCATTTCATTTGGTAAATCATTTTTTCATGGTTCATAATCATAAAATCATTATCCCACTTTCATTCTTTAGTATCATTCTTATTTTATTATTTAAAAAAAAAAGACATTTGTCTTTTTTAAATTTTTTTGGTTTTTGTTTCAAATGTTCACTAGGGTTTTAAAAAAAGTAAATGTTTTACTTATTTAAACATTTATTTGGACGCTTCAGTAATTTACACCCATTATCAGCATATTTTTTAAAAATTTAATTTTCAATTATTACGTTATGGTTTTTTTTTTTTTTTAAATTCAAACAATACAGGCCCAATTCTGAACCTAGATCATTAAAAAACAGAGCTCCCAGAGTTCTTGATCAGACCTGAATAGAAGCTGTTCAGGTGCCTTTTATAATACAAATTAAATAAAATGTTTTAATGGTAAATTTATTAATTAAGCACAAAAATAATGATGATTAACTTAAATTAAATTTTATTTCTTATTTTCTATAAACAATTAGAATTTTTTAAACGACAGTAATTTTATATTTTTCAAACTCTTTGTCAAACCATAAGGAAAACAAGGGTGGGCTTGTACTCACTATTTGATTAGAATAAATTTGCTGTGAACCACGACTTCTTCAGTACTATTATTTAGTATCTAATATTTTTAGTCTCTCATGCACGAATGGGCTGGATCCCTAGACTCTACCCTAAAAGCGTTTTTTTTTTTTTTTAATAAAAAAAGAAATAAACTATCAAATTTAATATTAAAGATGAGAATAATACATCGGTAAGAGTCTTTGGCAAATGCTAAAGAATCAAGTAGGTTCACCTTCTATAAACAGGTGTACATTGAATATAAATGTAAAACTACATAACAAAGACAAATTGATCAGAAATTATTAAATACACTTTCATCACTTCAATCTTCACTATCTAAGAATCTACAATTTTCTAATATTGCTGAATGAAACCATCTTTTTAATTTTACAAAGAATTGGTTTCAGGGAAGAAAAAGATTTTTTTTTTCAAATTTCCAAAAAGAATTTTTTCCACAATGTATAATGCTGTTAAAAGGAAAAATAAACTAAAGTGGGATTTTTTCTCTATTCTTGCTCATACAACATATTTTCAATATATCCATCACTAGATGCAATAAAAAGGCTATCGATGCAGAATATGAAAATACATCTGCTGTCTAATCCTTGGCTGCCACCTCTGTTTCACCAACTTCTTTAGCCATCTTACATAAAACACTTTTTACAATTTATTAAATATGTTGACTTTACGATATGAATTTACAATATATTCAATGCCAAATGTCATTGGAATTTTTTTTTTGTATATATAATTATAATTATTTTGCATGAAGCAAGCAATTCAATGCATGCTGTAAATGACTAATTCCTTATCCAGCTACAATCCAATAACAATGTAAAGTAATAAACAAAATCAGTAACATTGATGAAAATAACTTGTCACAGCTCATGGATTTGTTTTCTTAATGACTTTTCTACTTACGAAAATAATATTTTTTTCCAAGAAAAAATCATATCTCAGGTGAGACACTTTTGTATATATCTGAAATCTTGGGAACATTTCAAAGGGTAGATATTAAATGTTAAAGAATTATAAACAAAAATTCTCTTACATTTAATAGAAAATAAACTTTATTGCAAAATTATATTGTTAAAACTGACTTTTAAAATATTTGTTTGCACCGGCAAACTTATTAGATCATGGCGTCATTTTCCAAAATACATACATTCCTGAAAATTAACAGTAAAAATGTATAATTTTTTTGTTTTATTTTGTTTAAGTGGTCTACTATGTCTTACAATTAGAAAGCCTGAGGCGATGATGAGAGCTTTAGAGACAGATTCCATATGATTTATAAAGCTAACTTTGAATCCTCCACTAAGCAATTTACTTTCATTGTCCTTCCCTTTCCATTTTATTTTAAAAATCGTTCCTACCAGATTGTTACGATTGTCTTGGACCTGAAACATTTGAAACATCCATTTGAAAAAGTGAAAAAACATTGAAAAAACAATTAAATTTATGTCCATTACTCTGAATTTAGTGCTGCTAGACCATACTTCCCATACCGAATCCAAATCTTCAATAAGATATATTTTATATACCCGCCTGCCATTTGGTATACTGATTTTAAATCTAGGGCTCATCATACTGCAGATTTGTTTAACACTGCCAATGTAATTGTTAGGTTTAAGGTAGACGAATACTCTCTTAAACAAAAAAGAAAATTTTTGTTATAACATCTTAAAAAACCTTAACTATAACTCATTGTAGTGCATGTATATTTAATTGAATATCTATTAAAAACTGAAAAATAATTAATCTGTATGCTGTATTAGCCTTGAGTAGCCTTTGGATATTTTTTTTTAAATACTCGTCCAGGTGAGTCTTCTATCCGTATGTATGCTGAGATATTTTACAGTATTCTTATTTTCATTCCATGCTTTGGATTGTTAGCAGATGGTTACTGTTTGTGTGTTCTTAGGGAAAAATTGTAGAGCAGTTGTGACAGTAATGAACCCCTGTGGTGTGCCTGTTATCAACTTGGCCAAGGAAGTATGATTATTTGTTCTAACATTTATTTAGAAATCGTGAGATGCGGTCTGGTGTGATGTAGGTTTCAGAAAAACATTTTCTTTATCATGTCAACGTTTCGATCTTTATTTTACAAACATTGTTTACATAAATTCACTAATTTCGTGGTCCGCTTGACCAATCCATACATTACAATTAATTAAGGTTTTTAGTTGAGGTGAAAAAAAGCCAATGGCACGAGCGTGATTCAAACCCACGATCTTCGGCTAGATATGCCGCTGCTCTACCACTTGAGCTATCGTGACCTCGATCCACTCGGACATCAACTTCCTATCTCAACTCATAACTCATAAGGTGGGGTTGAGATAGGAAGTTGATGTCCGAGTGGATCGAGGTCATGATAGCTCAAGTGGTAGAGCAGTGGCGTATCTAGCTGAAGATCGTGGGTTCGAATCCCGCTCGTGCCATTGGCTTTTTTTCATCTCAACTAAAAACCTTAATTAATTGTATTGTTTACATATTACAATTACATTTTGGATGTGAAAAAGTGAATTTATACAATGCAAATTGTAATATGTAAACAATGTTTGTAAATCCCAGGCCCTGAAGATGATCTCAATAAAGGTCAAAACGTTGGCACGATAAAGAAAATCTTTCTGAAACCTACATCACACCAGACCGCATCTCACGATTTCTAAATAAATATTGATTAACGGTCACTAATCACCACACATTTGTTCTAACATAGAAGGATCTGTTTTTGAGGAAGTTTAAATAGATACATGCGAAGTTCTAACTTTTTTTTTAAGCTTGAATCTCAATCCTAAGTGCCATACTCAGGCCAATGATTTCGAGTCTTTACATGATAGATTTTTCAGTAGCTTCCCGCTTATAGGTAGGAGACTGATGGTCAATAATTTTCAACCAATTTTTTGTTTTTGCATGACTTTGGGTATATTATTATATTATTAGTTTGGCCAATTTCCATGCTTTTGGAAAATAGCCATTTCTATATTTGGAGACATTATATATTTGGAGTATTTGCATAATTGCTTTTTATGTAGGTTTTTTGGTAGATTTGCTGAGACGTCATTTTGTCCAGGATTCTTTTTTATTGCTTCGATAAGATTCTTTATTTCCTTCAGTGTCACAATTTTTACTGGGAGCTCTACCAAGAGTTGCAGTGTTGTAAAAAATTCTGCTATGGAAGGATCCATCCCTTGTCCCCAAATTTGCGAATCCTGAAAACCGATTCAAGGTATACAGCGATAAATGCACTTGTCATCAACATTCTCGACTATGCGGTTATTGGGTAGGATTGGTGGTGATATCTGAGGTTTTCTAATTAGGCATCTGGTTGCTTTTAGGGTGGATTCTTTTGCAAAGCAATTGAACCTATGGGTAGCTAAATCGTCTGTTCTTCCTCTTTGAATCATGTTTACTTCTGTCTTCCGCAATGAGTCCTTTGGAGATTTTATTTCGATTTTTTCAGTTGCAGTTTCCAGTATATCTGTTAGGATTGAGTGGATGTGGTTAAATGTCCTTCTAGTTAGTGGAGGCTTTGGTGCTTCTATGATGACTTCAACTTTTTTATACACTTGTCAATTTATGCATTGGATTTTCCAGTGCTGATTGTCTTCATTTTAGAGTAATTTGTAGTATATTTTTCGCTATGGGAATTGACACCTTTGGTGTTTTACAGGGGAGGAGAAAAAGGTTAGTGTAAATATATATAAATAACTATTTACTTATTGTTGTGTAGTTTGTTTTAACTAATTACACATAATATTTAGACCTTAATATTATCTTGATAATAATAATTTAATGTTTCATAAATATGAGCTAACATGATTTAAATGTTATGTTCACACTATGTGTAGAAAATCAAAAACTTATAATTACTTCATTTGTAGCATTCCAGAAGTATTTGCAGCAAGCTGGTCGCTTAATGATCATGAACGGCTCATGGTTCATATCGATAATTGTTGTTACAAACGGCCTAATTGTCTTGTGTACTAGGTGAGACTTACTAGCCAATTCCCCTGCAAGCATACAGGTCTGCCCAGAGGAATAACATATTTTGTAATGACTAGTCGGCGTAAAACTAAAATCATCTGAAATTTTGTTATATAAGTTGAATCTGTAACTGTAAGAAACACTGTCGCATACTGGTTTCGTCGATCATTCGTATCACGTAGAGATCGGGTGCCTTTTCCAAACTCTGACAAACCTCAGATTCATAGATTTCCTGAGGAATCTTAGGAAGAACTATGACACCTGTAATCCAAATTGTAAAAGGATATGAAATAATTAAAATTTTAAAATGCGCCATTGAATATACCTTTCCTTTTAACATCAAAAACTGTAGTTCCAATAGTGTTTGCATAATGTTTAAACTTATCTTCAATACTGTTACCTAAACATTTATAAACAATTGTAAAACTTTTATTAAAATTTTATATTTTAATAGTTAGAAAATGAATTTCTCTCTCACTATCTTCTCGTTTGTTTGTGATGGATGAATTTTGTGTAGAAGCACCTGGAGGGACTCAATTGAAACAATTTATTTTTGATTATCCGATGACTATTTGTAATAGCATTCACCTGCTAGCGCTGTACTCTCATCAGTAGTCGGTAATTCATTGTTTTCGGGAGCGTTCTGGGCCATTGTCAATAAGGGCTCCAAATTAAGTTTGACTACAGTATAGCTAAATTATCCTCTTGAACTTTTTTTTATGCCAATTGTTTAAAATCTATTTGTCTGTCTGCAGTTTTGTTTTCTTTGCTTTTAAAGCGACATTCATGCCATCTGCAATATATTTATAAATTTCTTTCAAAAAATGAAAAATTAACAATATTCACACTCACCTCATAGTCTGGTCGTACCCCTATTTCCAAGACGGTCTAACTACTAATTACTACATGGGTGTTTATTCAATTATAAATCCGTATTTAAAATAATTATAGATGGCTGCAGTGCTTTAAATGTAAACAATAACTTTAAGGGGGAAAGAGAATCATAAAATGACGCAGTTTTTAAAGAACAAACAAAAATTATTCCAGTTTTATAAAATAACCAGCTGACTAAAATTATTTATCGAAATATTTTATTTGTATTTTTTTAAATAATAAAAACAGATTTTATTTAAAATATAATTATACAATCTTTTTTTGAATCCTACTCACTCTTTCAATATATGTCTGATTCATCTTAACTTATATAAGGTTTTTCTTTAATTTTGAAACAAGTAGTGGAAATAAAATAATAAAAGTTGCTTAAACTTGAGATCTTATGACGCTAAAAACGCAATAAAAAACCACGATGAAAAGAAAATGGCAGCATCGTTCGGCCGGCAGAGAATCTCTCGCATATCGGAGGACCTGACTCATAGAAAAAGGGTCATCTTCACCTGTTTAAGAGTAGGCCATATGATTTTAAACACACTTTTGGGTCAAAGGCTTATTTGTTTGCCATGTAGAGAAAGATTGCTCAATGTGCCCCACCTAATTGAAGGGCACAATTCCTTGATCCAATACGAGAATTGTCCTTGAGCATGGCAGTGAGTCAGGATCCTTGTTATGATGTTTGGAGATCCCCAGTGTGTGTAGAGTGAATGTATTGGCGGATAGTGTGTGATAGGGCCAATGGTGTAATATTGAGATCTCATTCACCCTCGGTTAGGTTAATTAAAAGTTCATGAAAGAATTTTGAATACTCCATCACACTAACTCAGTGAATGGTATGCAAATAGGAAAGAATGTATTTAAGAGTGAGGAGAATAAATTGGTTTGTATTTCGGAATTAACGTGTGGGCTGAAATGACCTAGTAGTTAATTGCCTCTCCAACCTCTGCGACTCGTCAGATAAGACTGAGGACTGCCAACCACAGAGTAGTTGATTTTTGAAGCCTGCTGGAAATTTACTGAAAACTACACAAATGCTGGAATTTCCAACAAGCTGTGAAAAGTAATTGAATGGCCAGTAACCATTTAAAAGTCCATATTATATTAGATTCTGAATTTTTTTAAAATCCATACTAGAAGTCTTGCAGTAAAAATCATAAAAAACATTAAATTTTATTTATTTATTTTTAATATAGAAGTTGACAAAAGAGACAGTGTAATAATAATACATCATTCTTCTCCTTAAACAAATCATTTATGTGAATTGTAAGTGGTTGAAGTAGTGAGGAGCGATCAGTCCATCAAGAACCACTGATTGCATGCAGCAACAACACATATGCAAATTGTATTCTACTTTTATTTTTAATTAGTCCAATTTATTGATTGTGATAAAAATATCATAGGATATTAAGTGAAGAAAATAGTTTCTTGAGAAAACTGTTAACGATCCATTTTTGCCAGTTAGGCCTATCGTCGTTGGTCAAATAAACTGAGGATGTGAGATTTTCCTTTGAGGTCTCCAAATTTCCAGTTTGGTCCATTACGATCATTTTTGTCTGTTGTCAAGGAGCACGGGTCACTCCTGTGGCACAACATATTTACATTATGGGTCCGGCCTCATCAGTAGGACACTGAATTAGGTCGGAGCTACACACCTAATTACAGAAAGTCCACGAGTGATTTTGAATGCATCTTCTTTGGGTAGGAGCCGTCCAGCCTTCTACTTTTCCATAATTTTTCCTTTCTGATATAGTTTGTAAACGAGTAAAGAAAATACATTTATTTCCACATTAGATCAAAACTATTCATTTCCCTAATTCATTATTCAAATTACTTATTTTATCGGGGTTGGAATGTCACAATTTTCTGTTTTCAATTAATTTCCAGCAGGGTTTGGGAATCACCCACCCCAATGTTGGCCCTCCTCGTCTTGTCTGTACTGCCATGCAAGTTGGGCTGCAGGTGCTGTCCACAACTTTTCACCTCCCTACGCAAGCATTTCCTAAACCCATTCACCTCTTAAACTCATTTATACCATTCACTTAGAGTAGTGGACCTGGAAACAATCTTCACAATTTCCTATAATGTGTCAATGGTATAAATAATATATTAATAAAGGAGAGGAAGAACACAGGAGAGCATTAGATACAATGATACGGTACACAGATGGCTCCAAAACAAACAAAGGAACCGGATCAGGTGTTTTTTGTACAAGCCCAAAACATGAGCAATCAAACTCATTAGGGAAGTACACTTTGATCTTTCAAGCAGAAATACATGCCATCAATGCTTGTGCCCTGGAAAATCTTAAAAGAGGTTACACTGGCAAAAAAATCTGATAGCCAAGTAGCCATTAAAGCATTAGCATGTAAAAGAATCACATCAAAATCTGGGGAAACACAACAACCTGATGATATCTTGGGTGCCAGGGCACAGGGGAATTTTGGGTAACGAGAAAGCAGACAGACCGGCCAGAGGAGGATCTGCAAGACCATCATAGGCCCCAAACTTATTCTTGGGTTAACAAAAACAAATATACAATCCTCCATCGCAGAATGGATCCAAGCAAAACAAAAGGAGAAGTGGATAAACTCTAGCAGTGCTAGACATAGTAAACTTATGATGAAGCAATCCTCACCGAGACTGGCAAAAACACTGCTGCAATTGGAGAGGGCTAAACTCAGAGGAGTGGTAGGACTACTAACCGGTCACTGGCATCTGAGAAAACATCTTCACAACATGGGTATACACAGCGATGATCCCATTTGCAGATTATGTAATGAGGAGGAGGAAACTGCCACTCATATCATCTTCGAATGTGAAGCAACAGCTCAATGGAGGTTTAACCTAACATATGGAAAAAACTTAGGGAATCAAATTGCAGCAGCAGCAGTCAATGACCTAATACTTCTAAGAAGAAGGATTGAGACTATTGACTGAACTAAAGAACTAGGAAGGTACAATAAGCCAGAAGGCTGCAGTGCCTGGGGAATACAAACCCTATATATTACGCAGGGTGGGCGACCAAGACCTGAGGGGTTAAATGCCTACGTAGACTCGTACCCCATCTCTAAAAGGTCCGGGACTTGGTCGGCTTATGAGTCCTGCATAAACCTCTTGGACCTGTTCACAAACCCCAAGATTTTGGACCATTTTATCTTGGGGAGTGATTTAGCAATGTCCTCTCCTTCAAAAGTTTCAAATCTATTCTGCGAGGTAGTGTCGAGCCGTTTCTTCTTTTATTTCACAGAAGCGGCAAAAGGGGTCTGGTAGAATACCCATTATGGAGAGGTGTCTTCTCAAGGAGCAATGGCCCGTTAGGATACCTATCAGCCTCCTAATTCCCGCCTTGAGTTAGAGAATAACCATTTCGCTACTTTTGGTTTGATTTCCTTCAGAAACTCCTTCGATTGCCTATGTCCAGGGGACAGATTCCATTCTTTAAGGAATTGTTTCATGCCCCAGCAATTAATACTCTCTGGGCTTATAGAGTGGGGTAATACCGGTTGTGGCCCGACAAACGCAGTATTTGAGCCTTCTTTGGCCAGGTTATCTGCCTCTTCATTGCCATAGTGTCCTTTATGAGCTGATATCCATATGAGGGTTACCCTATTCTCGTACCTGGTAGTAATCCTATTAATAAGTTCAACGGTTTCCTCTGCCAGCCTAGATGTTGATAACTCTTTTTGTAATGACTTAAGACTGACCTGACTGTCGGAAAAAATTCTAATATCTTTTCCCTTAATCTTGTTATCCATGAGTGTTCTGCAGCAAACATTGATGGCCTAGACCTCTGCCTGAAAGACTGAGTTATTACCAAGAGGGGAGGAGATCCTAATCCCTGATTTAGGTATATGTATTCCAGCACCACTTCCCTTGTCCTTAATGAGTGAGCCATCGGTGAAGCAGTCTAGACTACGATGGTCATCATCCGAACTACATTTATAATCACAGGGAGTAACTACCTGAAAGTGCTTTTTCTCTAAAGGTGTTTTAACCTTTATATCACTAACGCTTAGTAGTTGGTTGTTGACCTTACTCAATAAATGTAGAATTTTCGAGTGACCTATATTGTTTCCCTTATGGAATACAAACCCTGCCTCCTAGTATCTTTTCTACCGTACCATACCATACCATAGAGTAGTGGAGTACTCTATGTTCCACCGTCAATAACTGTTTCAGTCCCAAATACTCACTGACATTCCTACATGCTTTCTATATGGAGCCAAGAATGTAGGTGCAGATTCTTGAAACTAGGAGAGGAAAAACCTCAAGCAAGATCCTACACTAAGGAACTGCTGGCAAGGCTATGGAGGTTGATTAACAATCTAAAGCAGGCACGTAAGCTATAAAAAATAGAGGAGCACAATATATCTACTCAGGTCAAGGTGCAAAAGGCCTTGTGGCCACTTCTTTTATCCCTATCCCTATGGAGCCAAGGAATGACACCTTCAATTAAATGAGATCGAACAATCTTTCTCTACATGCTGGACACATACACGGGCTTTGGCCCAAAAGTAAATGCCCGTGTCAAGCTCGTATGGCTTATTCTTAATCATGTGAGGATGACCCTTCTTCTACGTCCTGAGGGTCACCTATCAACAATGATACATGAGAAAAAAATTGAAACTAGTTGTAAAAAAGTAAGTTTCATTTAAAATTTCCTTTATAACAAATTGTGGAAAGACAAACAAAAAAAAGTACTATTTGACTACATTACACACCATAAAATACTTCAAAGATGCTTGTTACTATGTATGTATATATATATATATANATATATATACTAGTTACGTAAATTATGATAAATGAGAATGAATTTGTACAGTCTTTTTGAACTAATAATTTTTCCTCAAATAGTATATGATGGATAGGAGTCCTAAAGTACCTAGGTTATCAAACTTGTTATCTCAATAGTACAAGGTGATTAAAAAAATAATTTAGATGTATAGATGAATGATAGATGAATATTCTTTTTGTTAAAATAGTGAATCAGTTGGTTTATTGCTTGAAAAGTAGTAAAATGATTTAGCAACAGCAACATACAGTTTTTTTTTTCTGTGGAGCCCTCTCAAAATACATAAAATCCTGGAATCGAAGGAAGTCATGATTGTTTTCTTTCTTTCACATATTGGGAATATAACAAAAAATAATATAATTCAATTTATCACTTACGAGGAGGAAGCACAAGGACAT